CAAGCGTATAAATTACAAATATTTATAAAACATTATGAAAAAAAGCAGTGAATAAATTAAAAATATTATAAACATGCCTATTTAACTCTTTTTTTAAATATTTTAATCTTAATGAATTAAAAATTGTATAGATGGCAGCAGGCAATAAGGCGGGAAAGTTCATGCACGCATAAATAAACTAAAATATTTACGTATTGAGCATTGCACTTACAGTGAAGTAATAATGCAGCGTGTGTATCCGAGTTGTGCGGCACGTGCGCGCGGTGTAAACGTGAGCACACGAGGCAATTGCGATTTTTTTGCAATTTCAGCAAAGTCAGGCCGCAAATTAACGATAACAGAGTGTAAGTACATACGAAAACTACCTTCTGATAACCTGGAACGTGTCCATAATTCATTTGTTTAATTAAAAGTAAGTTACAACTGGAATTGTGAACTTTGAAAACAATAGTATCGCGTTTTTTTTCTTTATACTTTCTTCATGCAGAGTTGGTCTAATGCAATGTAAACAAAATTGTTTGGAGATTAATTGTTATTCAGGAAACAAATGAAGCATTGTGGTGACTTTGAATGCACAAAAGAAAAAAGAACTGCAAAGGCAAAAAACACCAGGCACAAGTCAAAACAAGAGTTGTGATAAGGCACGTGCAATGAAACTTAACACAATTACCGTTGTTAAGAGTTTTTGTTTTGTCACCAAAGATTAACATTACTAAGTTTTAAGTTTTTAATTTGAGTTTTCTAGGTTATAATCATATTTTCTGTTATTTATTTTAATTGTCCTAATTTTTACATGCTTAAATAAGATTTAAACACTTTATTTCATTTTTTTGTACCTTTTTTTACTTATAATTACTCTCAAAATTGTGCTACTTTATTTAAAAAGATATAATACATATTTGCTTGCCCCTGAAAGTTATGCAACCAACTTAAACTGAAGCGTGTGCTGATTTATGAAATTCAAACACATTTCTATGCAAATATTTACAAAACTAAGACTTTTCTACGAGCTTAAGGCATGTAAACAATTAGAACAATTAATTTTATGCTCGAGTGCCAACAAATTGTTGTACAACACGTTGCCCTATTATTATCACTTATCACGTGCATGAAGCATTTGTATAACATTACAATGTATGCATGTCTATTTGAAAAGTTGTGTTTGTGCATAAATATTAACCATTTCTCAGCTGCTTATAACACAAAAACAAACATTTCAAATGTTTTCTTAAAGATGTAAGAAAGTAGCACAACATTTAAATTTTTGGGATTTACTTACGAAAAATCCCTGTATAGAAATATGTGTCACACGTTTTTGTTGCTACATGCTGTTATCAAATATAATGCACTTATTGAATTTTGTTTATGGCTCTTTCACACATCGCCGATATCACATATTTTATTACACTTAATATAATAATAATCATTATCGGCTGAAGTTAATTTAATTACACCAATAACAACCCATAAGCCACAATCATCGTGATTGCAACAACGAGCACATATAAAATAATAACAAAATATTTATAACGAGTAGTGACAAGAAAATCATAAAAATTACATTTGCGTAACGCACTAGATAACCTACGGATTATGTATTATATAATATACATGTATATAAATTAATATCAACAAAATTTAAAACCTACAGAATATTTTTTTATTAATTTCAGTAATATTTATAGTGCAGTGTAATGAAATCACATCGTATATTGAATTTAATATTGAATTGAGATGTAGGTCGCGATAACCCTAAACCTTGATAAATCATTTATCATAAATGCATATTAATTTCTGTATGTATTCATACTGTACTGATGTAATACCTATTATAACGACTAAATACTCATTCGATTAAATTACATACATTAATTTTTGCATTTGAGTACCAGCGCCATCTGGTGACAAAATGAAACATCATGTTTGCTTGTATTGCTTTTGTAATACTTCATTAATTTTAAATTGTTTGGCAAAATCATAACTAATATTTTCACACGTACTAGTTTAGCTGTACGTATGCTTTATATTACAAACAATGTATCATTAATTTTATCAACACACGTTTATGATTAGTGACTAGGAAGTTGCCGCCATAGCAATGCGATAACAAAATGGCAACATTATTTCAACCTTCTTGCGTCAACATTTGGAGGAAGTTTGATTACTTCATATCCGAATGATTGGACCACAAAACGCACGCAATTTACTACTTATGTGAAATCAAAAGTTAACAATGGAAAATGTAAACAATTTTGAACGAATTTATACATATTTATTTACATAATCATTTATTGGAATTAAGTAGTTTATTGACTTTCGTTAACAATCGCTTCTTGTTGTTAATATTATGATTTATATGGTTAATTAAAGAAATGATTATTTAATCGTTTAATTATAAAATATAAAGACCAGTGTTTCATATGAAAAATAAAAATGTTTTAAATACTATCTATAATATAGAAATGAATCGCAAAATCTGTTGGTAAGCGTATAACTCAACAACGCTTATTGGCTAATAAATTCTTTTTTTTTCTTTATCTTTATTAACGTCGAAGGATGGTTTTTACGTCGAGAAAAATTCGAATAATTGCCGGGAAAACCCTAAAGACAGCCCTTTTCTATAGGATAAGAGTTGGCATTGAAATTCAATCATATATAAATATATATATAGTTAAATAGTTGAATCCGAGATGACGCGCTGAAGTGCATAATTAGCAATCCCTACTAATATTATAAATGCGAATGTCCTGATGTTTGTTACACTTTCACGCAAAAACTACTTAACCGATCATCTTGAAAATTTGTACACATATTCTTTGTGGTCCCCGAATGGTTATAGGCTACTTTTTATTTAATAAAAAAAATTATTTCTTAAATTAAATAAAGAAATTGTTTAGCCAATAATACCTCTGCATCTGGCTATTTGACTACTTTAACGCCATCTAGCATTCCAGCAATGAAGCTCAAACCTAAGTACTATCAACATCAACATCAAATCCAATTGACTACACTATGGAGACTGTACACTATACTTCCATAGACTATACTTTCAGCCATTTTAAACTTCCCGCCATTCTACTTCATTGTTACTTCTTCTGTGACTACAGACGCGTACGGAAGCATCTTCATTATTTTAGATATTCGCGAGCAAAGCCGCGGGTTAAAGCTAGTTCTTTATATAATTAATGTCTTTAAAATATAATTGCGAATCATATTGATAGAATTGAAACATACCTACTATGTCTAGAACAAGAGAGTAAAACCGAATTACATTTTTATTAAACACTACCGAGACGAAGTCGCGGGCAAAAGCTAGTATTGAATAAAATTGAATAATATGAACTATGTACTCTGTTTGTACATTATAGAAGTCAAGTGTTTATGTAATTACGTAGATATTTTAATTGCCGCCTGACGTCAATTCATTTAAATCTAATAACATTACTTATCCAGTCATATAAAACTAGAAATGTTATGTGTTTTCAATAGTATTTGTATAAATTTTAGAGTTTTAGATAAATGCTTAACATTAAACTAAATTATATTACAATTATTAACACCTAATCGATTTTTAATGCAATAATTGAATTTAATCAAGTTTAGAATTGGTGACATTGAAGAAAACCACTAAGGGATTGTCCATTAATCACGTGAGGCATGAAGGGGAGGGGTTTGTTAAAAATCACGAAAAATCACCAGGGGGAGGGGGGAGTGGAGTAAGATATCACGTGTATTTATTTTTTCGTCAAACGCACGATTTCTAAAGAGAAAAATTTTATTATTCTTTGTTGGGATTAAAATACACGTGATGATGGGGGTGGGGGGTGGGGGTAATCTTAAACCTCACGACGTATCACCAAGGGGGGGGGTCCAAAAATGAAAAAAGATCACGTGATTAATGGACAGCCCCTAATTTGCGAAACAAATTTCAATTTTACGAAGAACTAAAAAAGCAAGGCTAAATAAATACAAAGAAAATTATTAATCAGTAACACATTTAACCATGGACAAAATAAAATGACTACAAATGTAGTAATTGTTTAAAAAATTACTTTAAAACAATTTTAAAGTAAAATACTGATGAAAGTTTAATTTTATAGGCTTAAGACCAGTTTCTGGTTTCCATTGCTTTCAATAATATTTCTCCTGCTGTTTTAATACACCTACAGTACCCACATTTGTTCAAGTTGGCAAATTGACATCCAGAACATCGAGCATATTCCGCTCACCAGTACTCAGCGCTCACGAGGACACAAGGAGAGAGTGCGTCCGCGGAACTCGTCCATCAGAGAGGTCAACTCGTCACATACCGCTGGGCATTATAATATTTCGTTATATTTCAACATTACAAACAACAAATAAACATCATAGTCATGTTTGGTTTATGAACTTTCCAGAAACCAAATTGACAGTCTTATATTATCAATAGAAACTGGAATAAACTGCTTCATTGTAAACCAAACAAATTTCTCGGTAACACAAAATACGAATACATTCGGTAGTTTTTTTATATAATACAACTACTACAGCAATTACAGCTTGAATGCTCACAAACACAATCACAACATCACATCACAGCATCATTAAAACTTAAAACCACTCCAACTCCAGAGCTACGCAAGCGCGACGCTAACATGTGGTGACCAATGCAGTCAACGCTGGGTGTGCATAGTCCACATGATGTACTTAACATGAAAATTACCAGAGTTACAACAAATCAAATTGACCTTTACTTTCATGTCATGTCATACGCCACCGGTTCGAGCTGTACACACGAGGACATTAAAAGAACAAATGCATATGGCCGCCATTTCGTAACATACCTTGGTGACGCAGCATTTCTAGCAATTTTACTCACATTCTATGCAATTATTGATCTGGATGGTGATGTGGTTTGTGTGATCATTGAAATCACCTTTGTTTGATAGTTTAACTCATTTGTGTGTTAATATTGCAGTTTTTTTTTATAAAAAGCAGAATATAGAGCCGTAGGCAACCAAGATTACCCATTTGCACTTCGTGGAATTGAGTTGAGAGCAGTAGACTCGATTTCCAGAAATGCCAAGAATGCCAACTCTCGATCCTTCTACGGTCGTTTCTTCATCTAGAGATCTACACAACCACAGCAATGTCTTGCGTGTTGATAGTTTCTCTTTCTCTCTGGTTGTATGCATGCGTGCAGGCAACCTCAATCACCCGAGTCTGCGCCCCCCTAAGCTCGAAGAACAAGTTGCCGACCAGTGGAGTAGTGCTCGTGTGAGGTTATAACGCGCTGGTCGATTGTAGTTTTCGCCGTGGAATCGCCAGCTGCTGCCACAGCACAGTTTGAGAATCGTCGGCAACACGTCGGCAAGGCAACGGCCACGCTTGTATCGTGTGCGTTTTGTTGATGGTGGGGATTGTACTCGAAGCATTTGGGAAGCGCGGGTCGCAAAGGGGGCATCGGTAGCAGCGACTTGCGTGCTTTTCGCTCGCCGCATGTGCACGAGAGACACGCGCGAGGATATCTCTCTTCCAACGCTTGCAACGCACGGCGCGCTGCGCGCCGACTGACACACTCACCACCGAGAGCATCGTCCATTCATTCACCCCCCGAAAGCCTGCGTAGTGCAAGATATCCTTAAAATGCGAGAAAAGTGTCGCGTGTTGTGAGCCCGCTCGAAACTCACGAAATGCGTTGAATTCTGTGCTCAACAACTGCATATAAACAACCCGCGAACAATTTTATTTAAGTTAATTACTTGTGATTTGTGATAACATCCTCGAAAGCTCAAGGAGAAATTCAAGATGTATAAGTTACTGGGAGGGCTGCGGTCCTACCTCAAATTCCAGGAGATCACCATTGATTGTGCGGTCTTCCGGATGCACAACCTCTTCACCACAGCGTTGTTGATGGCTTGCAGCCTGGTGATCACCGCTAGCCAATACGTGGGTCATCCGATACAGTGCATCGTCAATGGTATCCCAACTCATGTGGTCAACACATTCTGCTGGATCACATCGACCTTCACGATGCCGGACGCCTTCAAAAGACAAGTAATACATATCTTCATATCATAGAAACAAATAGATAATTATTTTTGTAATATGAAAACAGATTGTAATCTCTTATCTTTAAGGGAACATGTGATGCAGGTTGCAGGTCGCAGGAACAGCTGACCTGTGAACCCTCGGATCGATACTTGCATGTGCACTGTGTTTGTGTGCAATGCGAACGCAACATAACCTCACTAAACAGAATACTAGTGGGGTAATACTGAGATAGAGATACTCTTGCTGTTGCTATTTTTTACAATGATGTAACTGTTTCATCACTCAATCACTCATGGTGATTGTGAGAATATACCAGCGTAATTTGCATTTGCTTCATCATATATTCCACTGCAGGTCTGCAATTGAACACTGCGGCCATATTGTTTGTTGATGCCCATGTGTATTTGCATACTATGTCTAATTAAAACCATTTAGTCATGAAACACGTCCATTAGTTTCGAACTTCGCACGTGGCTCGAATGACAAAGTTGACAATACGCAGAAGTCAGGTAAAATCGATGCCCTAATGATTTTTATTGCGGCTTGAGGCACCTACAGTTGGTTGATTGTTTGATTTGCATACATGACCTATCTATTTGGGTCACTTTGGTTGTTACTGTATTGCAAGTTGTAAGCAACACAAGTTGAATAGGTACAATTCGTGAACGTTTACGATGTTCTACTTTTCTTTGAGGTAGTTTTATACGAGTTAAGCTGTAATCAGACAGGCCTTGAAGTCATTTAAGTTTCATCCATATAAATTTAAGCCTGTCATAAAGATAATCCTTATTAAAGATGTTCTTAGGAAGTCATTCACTTCGATGCATTTTATTTGGCACTAATGCAAAATACCTGTTTTTCTTTCAACCGAATGACGAATGCATGTTTTGATTCACACGTGTATGTCATCAGCGATTGTTAAAAACAATTAAACATGACGCGTCTCGCCAGGCGCCATTTAACAATTCAACAATTCCTTTTCTTTGCCGGCCGAAGCGTGATCAACATTTTTATCGCACAATTAAAATACATTAAGTGAAGCAAATCATACATCAAACGTAACCGCGCGTCGCGAAGAAAATAAACATTTATAACATTAAAAATGCAATGGAAATAATCTCAAGGTTGTCGGCGCCGGTCTGGAGATTAAAAATTCAAAAAGAAAAAGGGATTTAATTCCCATGCACATGTTTATGTTTCAAGTATTATATTGCCGAGAGTGTGCCTTTCGCAATACCCTGTATCTTGTAAAAATCCAGGTTGCAGCGATGTTTCGCCGGTAGGCCGGGTTGAAATGATGCGTAGGTATAATTACGAGTCGTACCTTAATTCGAAAATTTCACAACGCAACAATGTTGCGCGTTGGTGATGGGAATACGTTTGTGTATATGTGTGTGTTGTGTTGTTTTATTCTAAATGTTGTATAAACGCTGTGCTCTCTTTGGTTGCAGGTAGGCAAGGAGGTCGCCCATCCCGGTGTGGCCAACGACTTCAACGACATCAGCGCGCACAAGTACTACACGTACTACCAGTGGGTCTGCTTCGTGCTCTTCTTTCAGGTAAGTTATATACTTCTACAAGTTCATCTTGGCCGAGATGAAGAAATTCCGAATATGAGTTATGTGATATTCGTGTGATGCTTCATGGTGGGAGATTTATTCGCGTAATATTTGTTTTTTTAAGGCAAAAATAAAACCTAAAAATCTCACCATGACGCATCTAATTTAGGATATTGAACTTTTATAATATTAAATTTAATTATTTTGTTATATATTTACAAAAAATGTTCGTGTAACCGGGCGTAAATGATTCAAAACTTGAATAGATAATTTTTTTGGTAGTTGTTAGAATCACGCTGGTTTCAATGCTCCCGAAATGTCAATAACCTGCTTACACTTTTTTATACACCTTATTTAATCACATTCATTCAATGTACAACGAATCTATTGTGTGCAATAGAAGCAACAAATTCACACCAATTTGAACGTGTCCTGTCGCGTGCGTCAAGTGTAAAATTAAAATAAACATACAATTTGAACATCTTTACAATGAGATGAAACAGATTAGATTCTGTTTTGATTATGATAGACATTTATCATTACGAAATTAATCATTTTAATTCAACTACTGAAAAACTTGATATTTTTGACAAATTTTGTAACAATGACTTGTCACTATTTATCAACCGGTGCTGAAATCTGCAGATCATACCTACTATGTGATTAATAAAACGTTTATAAATAATTAATAGCAGTTTAAATAATAAAGGAAAAAACAATAAAGTTCCTAATTATTTCTGATTACAAAAAAACAACTTGATTACACATGACGCAGCTATATTAATATCCAATTACAATTATTCGACCATTTAGTAATTACGAGTAGGTATAAATAGTTTTTGCTAGAATTTGATTCAAATTTATTTCTAAGAAGTCTGGATTTTTAATATTGATAATTATTATTTTTACTTATTTTTTTGCAACTACCGCAACTGGACATAAAAAATATATTTTTATTGTGGTTTTGTCATAGTTACAACTTGCATAAAAAGGTGACATACACTACATTCTAGTCCACGTCGATTTACACAACATCCTTCAATAATTTTATTTCGTAACGGATGTTAACAAAGCAAAACAAAATAAACCGGAAGCTAGACTAATTGATTAAATTTCAGTTTTTAATCCTATTATCCTAAATTGGATGTACGTCACACTTTTTTCTCATCCGTTTGTTTTTATTTGTAGTTTACGTGTCGAACTTGTTTAAAATCGCATTTCAACACAATATGAATGTTTCAAATGACGTCTGTAGACTGTATTTCCAAATTACTCATTGTCGATTCATTAAAATTTACAATGGGGCGTTAAAGCTGTATTTTCACACTTTATTTGACAATAACTTTATTTTACAGGCGTTAGCTTGTTACACACCGAAGTTCCTATGGGATATGTTCGAAGGCGGATTGTTACGAACGCTGGTGATGGGCCTCAACATCGGAGCCTGCCATGACGAGGAGAAGAAGGCGAAGAAAACCGTCATTCTCGACTATCTCACAAAGCATGTCAAGGTGAGTTCGTACAAGACTTGCATCATACTCTGCAATTCTGTATACTTTATAAGTTTTAATAAAGCGTTGCGTGTTTTGCAATCATCAACTGGAATTCTCTTATTAAATACACAACATATTTTCAAATGTGATCTTTACTCATCAAAATTCCGCGAATAAAACGCCTCCATTTTGACAGTCATAATTAGATTATGTCGCAATTCCAGGGATGCTTACGTTGACTTTACTGAGTAATAAATAATCACAGCTAAAATGACGATTGAATCAGCAATTGCGATTTACTACACTTTGAAATGTGTACTTCGCTACTGATCAACATTTCACATCGTGATTTATAGAACAGGCAATGAAAACGATGACTAGCAGTTTGTGTTACATGATATGCAACCAGGAAGACCATTTTAACAATCGACAATTTGCACAAAATTGTCCACTCTGGTGACTTTTGATATTAACGTGTAGCATGCAATGTAATTGTAGCTAATTTACGGCGAGGACGTGTGGCGGAATAGTAAGACTAGAATTTGTTATTCATTATTCTTTAATTAAACATAAAGTGAGGGGTTTTAATTGTAATAGAATAGTACGAGTATAGTATATTTACACATTATAACGTAACACTCCACCTATACATGGTCTTTGTGTATTATTTACATCGTGGTAATGGTGTATTTGTAGGAAATGTGAGAAACCATGACTGTTGATGTGAAAGGAAACCGCAAGTTTGAATAACAACATTCAAGCAGCACTTCTTAGGTTTTCAACTCAACCTAGCAGCTTTAAATCAATATTTGTTCTTATATTTTGCAAGTAACACCAGTATATCTGGTTTTTATATTAAAAAAAATATTCTGCATTTGAACAATATATAGCTGGAGATATGTATATCCTTTCATCAATTGACCGCGTATTTCTCTCATCGCATCATCACAATGATTGCTTCATGCTCGTGCCGATGCATCTGTAATGACATAAGCTTACTGCACACTGCGAGGTCATAAAGTACCAAGCGTGTACATGTACAATATGTTTCTGTTTATTTTATCTGACATGTTATATTTATCTGTGCTTCTCGCCTAAGAAGTGACATATAAACAATGATGTGTGCCGGATCTTTTATATTTCATATATGGGTCAGTTTGATTGTGTATATTAATTAGCGTTTGTTTATTTTCAGAGACACAACTTGTACGCCATTCGATACTGGGCCTGTGAATGTCTATGCCTGATCAACATCATCACACAGCTCTATTTGATGAATAAATTCTTCGATGGCGAGTTTCTCTCGTACGGTATACGTGTGCTCAACTACAGCGAAACTGCACAGGATGATCGCTACGATCCGATGGTGTATATCTTCCCCAGAGTGACGAAATGTACCTTCCATAAGTACGGAGCTTCAGGTTCGCTGCAGACGCATGATAGTCTCTGTATCCTACCGTTGAATATTGTCAACGAGAAGACTTACATATTCATCTGGTTCTGGTTCATGATACTGGCTACTTTGCTCACGGTGCTTGTCATCTATCGTATTATGATCTTGGCTATGCCTAAATTTCGTCCACGTATCCTACATTCGAAACATCGCTGTCTTTCACTTGAGGTGTGCGAAGCAATCTGTAGGAAAGTGGATTTGGGCGATTGGTGGCTCATTTTAATGCTGGGTAATAATATGGATCCGTTGATTTATCGAGAAATTATCACTGAACTCGCAAAGAATATCGAGACGAATGTTAGTAATCTGCAGAAGTAGCACGCGGCCAAGCGGCGTGAAAATGCAGCGAACGGCGTGAAACCACCCGATGATAAGGAAAGGGAGGCGCGCGAGCAGCGCGAAGAGCACGAGATGGATATCTTTGTTATTTAATTTAGTTGCATGTGTTAAGAATAGTTTGTAAGCCGTTTTTTGCATACTGTACGAAAAGGCGGCCTAGTCCACATTCCGACAGAAGTATTTCGAGCAATACTCAGCGAGCAGCATATCTCGAATCAGTATTTACACACTTCGAATCAATTCCAAGCTAAAGTACAAGACTTCGAGCATGAGCGGCTGTTCAATCAGGTCAATTACTGCGCAGTGGAGAATGTGACCACATACGGTTCAAATTATTGAGAGTGACAGTAAGATTGCAAGCAATTAATAAGAAACGGTGGAAGTATGAAAAGGGAAAACAAAAAATTACTGTGATCAACTCGCTAATTTTAAATGATAATCATATACGAGGCGATAAATATGTTACGACACTCGTCCTGCCATGTAAAACTCGAACGCATGAAGTGAAGAGATTCATCGAGTCTTTATCTGCCGCGCAATGTTCAACTTTTTAAAATTTACAAATTTTATGCGTTTTTATTAAAGTAGTTCTATGTTAGCAACAATAAGATTACACAAACACACTATGTACACACAAACAACAAGCATATACTGGATAATTGCATAATCAATCCACCTGTGTCGTTGATGAGATCAATACTGGGTGTTCTCCAATTTTACCTTTTTTGGGAAGCCACTCAGCGCTGGGCCCATATCACTTTTGATACTATATCGTATACACTGTTGTAGATTTTTCGAATTATACATAAGGTACCTTAACCTATATTAGGCGTTTTACCTTTTTGGAAACATTTGATAAATCACTTTTAAGCGCTACTATTATAAACAATCAGACTGTTTGTTAATAGAAATAAGACTCGAATCAATTGAATCACACTAAGCAGTTAATAATATTCGTATACAATCAAAATATTCCCAATATGTATACATCATCACAGAAATGTAAAAATCTAACAACGCCATGATTTTAATTTAATAGGAATGTATTTCTGTGATGGTTGACTTTGGATATGCGCCTATAATACTTTAATAATATTTAATGCGTTATTTTAAACATCAATAACTTTTGTAATCTCGATTAACAACGTGTAAATTAAATTCGAGTTGGTTTGCGATGCGCTCATACATTCTCTAATTTATATATTTTACATTTTCTGCATCGTTATCGTTGTTGGAGTTCATTCATTCATGTTGTCATTTCATGTTGTCATTGTTTGTCATGCGCATCACTCGACTTTTTACAATAAGGAGATTAATTATTTACCTATGTAATACTATCCTGAAGAGATTTTATATGAAACTATTGACATTGTAAGTAATAAAGTATGCAATAAGTACAAATTATTTGGTTGTTTTAGAGGGGAATAACACACGTAATAGATTAGAAGGTTGAAATCATCAAATAAAACACATGATTAAAGTTAAATTGTTATCAGGCCTTTGTTCGATGGTACTTGTGTTCTGACTAACAGAATTGTACGCAATTTGGTGAGCTAATGATAATTTTGGCTGAGGCGCGCGAGAATATTACACAATAGCCTAATGGCGATGAGTGTAGTGGACTGCGACCGGTGAAAAGGTCGTCGATCTCAGTACACAATGCATAATGCACAAATTCTCGAAAGGTGAATTACAAATAATAAATATTGCGTTGTTGCTTCAGCAATAGTTAATTTAACAAGTAACATCTAGTTCTAAAGCCGTTATATCATTGTAAAGCGTAATACATTAAATTGATTCAATTGAACCATAATAATCACTTTAAAAATGAAATTTTATCAATTTTCAATAAATTGAATTTTCATGTTTGCAGCGCCTTCTTTTAGCAGTCTAATGTAGTAGTTGCATAAATTTGCGCACAGATGGCGCAAGCTCCTCCAAAATCTCTATATTTATTTATTTACTCGCACATCTCGCGATTGTTTGGATCACGCCACTTTTTCGATAGCGCTACACAAAAATTGTTGTTTACTTTTTTTTTTATCGCACATCTATCGATAGCATCTGATAATTTACATTTCATTTTCGCTTTCAACAAAAGTAAATATTTCACGCTGTCTGACACATCAAACGATTTCAATTTGATTTTTTTTTGAAGTAAAACTTCAAGTATAATTGTTTATTAATCGAATATCTATGCTGTATTATCATTTGAAGCAGTCTCAACATTTCGAAACTGGAGTAATATTATAGAACTAGCCAAAAATAACTCAAATATTTACAACTTGCACTTTATAAATAGATGTAAAAAGTAAAATTCATTCCGAATAATTATTTTGGCCCGGATTGTTGATAGTGCCAAAAATTCTCGACCGAAATTCACTGACTCAATGTTTATGCACGGCACTAGGAAACCGTGAGTAATTTGTAGTACACGCAACATTAATCTTTGAGTCACGTTCCTTTTTTTCTGGTTTACTCGAAATAAAATTATTTATTTTCACTTATTTCCGTCTGTTAGCGAGTTGAACGAAATTGTGTTGGCCAAGAAGGCTGTTAACACAAAACGTTTAGGCTATTGGTAAGCAACAAAAGACTTGGCGACTTGGATGTATGCGCTAATGAATCGGTACAGTTCGTTTATTACGAGCGATATAAATCAAGCGGTTTGTCATCGTTGAAACTCCCGTAACAAGCAAAGAAACAAATAATCTTTTCAACGCAATTTGCCGGTGTAGTTTTCCTTTGTTTCTGTAAATAACGTTTTTCTAGTGTTGAAATCAACAGTTTTGTGCTAATGCATTCAAATTTTTGGTTTTAAAAAGTGGGGAAAAGTGAAAGTAGTCTACGTGACCTTGTGCCGATGCACAAACTGCACTGCGTCGTTTCAGCCACTGGCGAAACTTGTGTTTTATCTTTGTCTTACTAGTGGAATTAAAATTCGTGTGTGGTTTAACCCATTGGCAAAACGATCAGTTTAGTTGCGTCAAGTTGCGGCGATTGTATTAGGGTGCGTGTATCACGAGGGGAGTCCGCCTTTTGTTTGTTGGGTGAAATCAAGTTGCAGTGCTAACGCACAAATTCGTGTAGAGTGCGCTGGCGAAAAACAAAGGAAGATCGCGCGAGCAGCAACAAGCCGACGTGTGCCTACGAGCGGAGCTCATATTCACTTCAAACCTCGAACGGCTCAGTTCATATTCAAGAATATTTGTTTAATTATCATGGGTGTATCAACTGCGAATTGAATTTAAACGTTTGCTCAAGTAATACCTTCATCGCATGACATCCACCTCATATTATTATATTTATCGTCAAGATGAAGACCAAGGCAATGGAAACAAAGCTGCCGAAGACTGAAGACAAACACGATGAAGACGAAGCCATTGTTGCGAAGCGTGCAAATCGTTAATGGCCGGCGGACAACTATCCATCGTATATCGCATTCTTGTTTTTGGGACGAGAGGCAACAACTGGATCATTTCCATATTAAACTTTCATTGGCCGTGGTGTACACCTTTCTATTCTGATTTTTGTATCTATGAATTTGGTGGCACCACCAATAAACTTAACAATTTCATGCATGCAATTAAAACGAGCAATCGTTAAGTTTTCTATGAAATTGCGGGAAGGCGTATCCCCCAATTATCATCGGTGGTGTTTTGCTCCTCTCCATCATGTCGATTTTTTTGGTGCACAGCAGGGCGGCAACGCGAGTGTTCGGGGCACACTTCGGTGGTTGTCGCGCCTGCGTATCTTACTCTCTTGCACTTTATTCTTCGGTGTACCTTAATGCATAATATTATAAATATCCACTACAAATAATTTCACTGAGAAAAAATGTGGAAGCAACCTGGTGGTAGCAATTTTCATGATGGGATCCGTCCTTTCTTCGCCCCGCTTTTCTTGTGAAACGTTCTGATGCGTTTTTTGGGGCGACTTTTTCTCCCTCGCCGTCATATGGTATCTTCTAATATTTCCTATTGCCAATGAAGCTGAATGTTTAAAGCAGTGCACCGAATAAATAAAAGCCGTTTTGTCGGTACTGTTTTCCATGCTTGCTACTAGATTATTCTTTGGAGAGATGGCTTTTTGGTGGATACGATAATCAGTAGCAAGCCTTATTTATTTTTTATGTCAACTAAATAAACATTCAACGAAATCAACCTCTCTTCCCTTCTAAATAGAAGTTTTATAGAGAGAATCATGGAATTTTACATATGATAGTATAATAGTATCCTAACTTGGATATCAATTAAGATTGGGTTCGTAAACTCGATAAATTAAATTCAAACATATTAGGAGCAGGGCATCGTGACTTTACATGTGCACACTATAGGTTTGAAATATATCTATATATATAATTTCAGTATCACATATATTTTTTAAAGAGTGCATCTCTTAATACATTACATTCTTTCGTAACATCTTGCTTTTTACTCTGCAGTCAACGAATTAACTTCCCCGGCGAGCAAGGCCAAGTGAATCGAATTATTATGTGACATAATACATATTATCAGTGCGCTGCGCAATTCTACATGTTTGTGTTTGCGGTTAAGACTACATTGCACATTTCATAATTTCAATTTAATAAATTTTCCACTTGTGATTACGAATGTCAAGTGTACGAAATAACTTGCAATGGCTCAATGGTCTTTTCAACTCACCTATCTCGAGTTCAGTATTGATAAACAAGCTGTGAGCTCACGACCACTTTACTAAAGTGCTATTGTCAAAGTAGATTGATAACTAATTAATTATGGAAAACGGATGTTGAATTTGTCATCCGCGTCAGGCAAATAGTCTTAAAGCTGCAATGTTGGTGAATTGCCAGAACTGACCTTCTTCAAGCTTTGTTTTGTACGCTTTGACGCCACTGGTCTTTTTTTTAGCAGAGGTGGATAATTCACCTGGCTATTTTTCTCGTTTCCGCTATAGGGATCGGTCGTAGCATCACTGTATAGCTCTTCGTCCAAGCTACTAATTCTTTCATTCTCATTGGTGTACTCGAATCCTTCGTGGTGGCGGTCCATTAAAAAGTCAAGCAAAGGCGGGGTAAATTGCAAGTCTTCAGCTAATCCGTCGAGGAAGTCTACGAAGACTAAACTGTTCATGTTCTTGGCGAGATAAACTAAGAACAGCCAGTTTGGAAAGTTGTAATTTCGCGTCGCTGCCATAAGGTGCTGAATGTTGATGCGGCCTGTGCTTGCACATGTGAACACTACTTTGTTGAAAAAAGTGCTGCGTGAATACAAACACACACTGAGAATGCGCCAGAAAATAACCATCATCGTCAATGCGAGCAGTGTCATAAACCAGAACCAGAGGATAGCGTACACCTTCTCATTGAGTACATTTAGCGCCATGACACAAATAGTGTCAATCGGTTGAAGTGTTCCGGAGGGACCATATTTGTAAAAGATGCATTTTGTCATCTGTAAATGAGGTGTTATGACTGTAAATTATATTACAGTGGTATCAACTATTAATTTCTTGGTGTAATTTCTTACCTTCGGGAAAACAATATCAAGAGGATCCACTGCGGATTCAAATCCCTCACGCAACAATTTTAGTCCTAGCTGGACAAAATTACCGCCGAGGAATACATGTGTTAACCAAATATTAAGAAGGGTGGTGCATAAGTTTAGAAGCTCGCACGCGATAAGCCAATGGGTCCAGTACCGATTGACAATGAGGCTATCAGTCAAATACTTTTTGAGTATTCCAAATTTTTCTTGCCTAAACATCTTCTGTTTGAAAGAAATTGCATAACTCCAGAAAATTATACTCACACTTTCTTCATTGTTGGAACTTCCTTGTCCGAGATAGTTATGGGCCTTTCAAATGTAGTCCTGGCAAGGGCGGCGTACTCCAATCCGTCGATGAGTTTCTTCATTCGTTCCCCTTTCGGGTATATGCAAGTATAATACATTAACCACTGAATAATTCCATTTTATCACTGTTCTTATTTACCTTCCTTCTTCTTCCATATAAGATGTGGCAGGTAGAAGAGAAGCGCTTGGACGAAAAGAACGAACGGTACCCATTGATAATACGCATGGTATTTTACGTCATCTTCTTCTAGTTGGCCGTGGGCCCCTACACCGGGATATATTATTTCACCACGGTTTAACAAGGTGGCATTCATGAATTTCACCTGTGAAATACAACATCGAAGTCGTACATCATTATATAGCATTACAACATACCACCGTGAATGTTGTTGTGGCGAAGCAGTACCGATTTAGAATCTTCTCGAAATCCTCGCTTGTTGATTCGTCACCTGGCGCTATGCATTTGATATGTTCGCCGATGAGCTCCTGGGAACCAACCAACATCACCATTACTATAAGTAAAAGAGTTGTGATGCGGTAATGAAGTCTGAAGATCACGTTATCATATGTGTATGTGTGGTGCTTCCATTTGATATTCTTCTGAATCGTTTCTATTAGATTCTTCATCTGTAAAATCAACTATGACTTGACTTGATTTTGTACGATTTTAAGCTATTGCCGATACAGCTTCAAGAGTTATGAATGATCTAAAAGCGGACTACCTATGCTTTTATTTCGTTATCAACCTCTCTGACTCACGTTTTTCACGTTTTTCGTGTTCCACTCCTTGTTTTATTTATCTTTCTTCCTGGAAGTTCAATAAAATGCCAATAAATCAATAACCTCTTATCAAATATATCTAAACATTCACTCAAAATATTGCAAGATTAAGTGAATTTTTTGTAGCTGAAGTTTCAATTCGATACTTAAATTCTCTTCGCTCATGGCCCTTTCTCATGGTAGGGAAGAGTTACAATTTGAGATGTCTTCATAGTTATCACCTCTTGGGTAGTAGTGTGTACATGACATCACTAAGTTTTGTTTCAATACTAAACGCGACTACGAGGTACATTTTTATACATATTTTTCCATGACACCAAAGTTTGGAGCTATCCTATCTAATCGTAACTCCATATTGTTGAAAATCCGCCTATATGACAATTCGCTTTTTTTTGTTGAATATAGTTTAATCTTCTCCTTGTTGTTAATCTCAACGGTATTTCGCCTATATAATTTGTATACTTTTCACCATTTGAAACAATTTTAGTTGCTAACGCGGTTAACGAAAGGGTTTCTAGGCGGAACATTTTTTAAGTGTGCACAATTAAAGTTTCGTTCTAACACTGATTTGGATTGCGGTTTCCTTTAAAAATGTAACGTTTCACGCACGTCTATGAAATGAACACGAACCATCTGCATGTCGAAGTACAACCTGGTACATGTAATAATGTCTGATTAAGTTATTAGAGTGGTTATCGGTGATATGGATCCCGAAATTTTGTTAATCCGCTCTTACAACAGCGGAACAGCATTTTTGTTCAATATATCTTCTGTGAATGGATGAGCGGCATAATTTTGTACATTGCAGTCGGCACCTTTACGATATTTGCGTGTTTTTTTATAAACGTAATCGAAGTGTTACTTTCATGTATATATAATCTATATAATTCTTTTGTTGTGTACCTGTATTGCTTATCTACGCTAGACTGCCGGTGGCGCCGCTTTAATAGGTCAATGCTACCCAAATGTATAACAAATCCTAGTGCGCCGTAAAAAATAATAAATTCTGCTGATCGCTTTAGCGAAAATTCGTAGAACTTGCGATGTACAATATATCATTAGGCTAAGCCAACTAATCAGTTAATTATATATTAATAATGTACTAAATTTAATCTTATTTGTTTAGCATATCTTAAACACAGATCGAGATTGTGACGGCGTCGTAGTTCTCATGAAAATTTCGATTGAATTGGAGTTTTTTTGTTTTAGTTTTTCTCAAAATCAAAAAAAAAACGGAGGCGATTAAGAAGTTCAATAGTGCTCTAAATATTTCTTCATGTGTGTTGACGTTATGCTCACATATTTCCTTGCTGCTCTTGCATTGTGCTTTTATCTCCAAAGCTTTTAAAAAATCACTTTTATCCTTGAAGCCTTTGATCATCTTAAAATTGGAGAATAATAAAAGAATCAAAGAATAAAATTTGAGCATGGTTGATGTCGTAGGCATCAATTGCGAACAATTGAATTGTGTTTGCTTTAAGTGTTAATTACTGTTTTCATTCGTTTCAAGGTAAAAACGATTGCGTTAAATGTCATGTTTTCCTAGATGAAAAATAAGTAAGCACCAAAGTGTTTTATGAATGAAGTGAAAATAAGCGCGCAGAATCTTACGTACTGTAGTATGGTCTACAATAACATCGTCGAAATATCTAAACCTATAAAAACATGAAAAATGTTTTTGGACGGCGGAGAGAAGCCATTGTAATTGTAAATGAATTTTTGGCACCGAAATCCAAGAAGACTAAGTCAACGTCACAACTTCTCCCCATTCTCCTGGTTTCCTTGAATGAACATATATTTTTTGGCTAATAGTTTTAATGGTTGCGATTCATTTATATGCAAATTTATCGTATTTTGTATCACTTCATTTCATGCGAAAATGCCCTCTTCATCTTTATAATGAGCCATTTTTCTTTTCTTAGCAGGATTAAAAAGGGCCTATCTTATTTGTGGAGGACGAGTTAGTCCTGAAATTTAATTTAATACTACCTAGAGGTATTTAATATATTCAGAACCGAAGTAAAATTTCTGTGATCACCCAATTGGGTTTTTTGGTGATGGTTGGGTTAGTCAATATAATAAATTGAAACCATTTTAATTGAGTAATGATTGAGCAAATTATAATGCCTGGGCAAGTTAATAAACACTACAATAAATTATTAAAGCGAACGTAGCCTTCGAAAATTGAGATTCAACTACACCAGCAGGTGATCTTTCAAAATTGAAATGAACCAGACCCGAACACTTCAGCACTGCTCACTCGCTTGCTCTATGTGTTTATTCGTAAAAATTAGGTTACAAATCATATTTTCATAACTCATTTTCAAGGTGAGCGTGTAAAAACAATGAATGTAGGCGTACATCGTGCGTACGCAACGGGAGATGAAAGTTCCGCAATGTTCCTGCTTATTTTTGGATCTCGATGGAGTATGATGCATTAAACCAAGTGTGTTCTTCATCACTGCATTTGCTTTGGGAAAGGTTATGAATTATTCGCCTTTATAAAAATATTATATATATACTAGCTGACCTGGCGAACTTCGTACCGCCTTATTTTTTATTTAAACTTAATTACACAAAAATAATATTGAACAAAGGCGGACTTAATGCCGTAAGGCATTCTCTGCCAATCACATCGCTAGCGACCCGCCCCGGCTTCGCACGGAAGTAAAACCGCATCAAAATCCGTTGCGTAGTTGCAATGATTTAAGCATACAAAGGGACAGACAGAGAAAGCGACTTTCCTTTTCCAAACAAAACATCAACCGGTCAACTTCAACCCACACGTACACACATACACACGTCTATGCTTGGGAGAGCGAAGACTTTATCTAAAACCTGTGTCAAAACTTTAATAACCTTATTGTTGGCGCGGCGGGTATGTCACAAATTACCAAAGATTATAAAATTATAGTAAGTAAACACACATACCCTTATCATTAATGGAATTAATCTCAACGGTATTTCGCCTATATAATTTGTATACTTTTCACCATTTGAAACAATTTTAGTTGCTAACGCGGTTAACGAAAGGGTTTCTAGGCGGAACATTTTTTAAGTGTGCACAATTAAAGTTTCGTTCTAACACTGATTTGGATTGCGGTTTCCTTTAAAAATGTAACGTTTCACGCACGTCTATGCTTAGGGGGACGCTACAAATTGCACGTCTATGCTTAGGGAGAAGCTACGAATTGCACGAAGATGAGACGGAGATAAAAAACAATATATTTGTGTGCTCTTTTTTTCCCGTAGGCTAAACCATATAATAATCATATCTAAAGAAGTTTTTACTTCAGAAAGTATTCTAGTAGGTAACCTTCTCCAAACAAAAACATCAACCGATCAACTGCAACCCACACGTACACACATACACACGTCTATGCGTGTGACGGAGATAATAGAAAACTTTGTATTTAAGATATCACAAATAATTAGCAATAAATTAAAATTGCGACTATAATTTGAGATTTAAACTATCCTATCTTTCAAGTTGGATCGAACTGCACATGGTGTGCGAATTTTATTATAATCGGTTATGTGGTTTAGGAGTCCATTGAGGACAAACATTGTGACACGAGATTTATATATATTAAGATATAACCTGTTGCTCAATTTGAAATGATTATTTCCCACAATTGAATATGTGCTTCTTGCAAAAACGATCAGATTGCTGATTGTCACACTTTTATTCATATATAAATTTTATTTAAACAATGCTTCTGTGGAACTAATGCTTGTCCCCATTAGCCTCTCTTATTTATTATTGCAGACCACAAAGACTTGCCCTTAAATGGCTGGTTCCGTTCTATTTCTTTCGCATCATATTAGGGTACAAACATTGTTGTGCACCAGTCACATCCAGGAAAAAAAAGCACACCTTCTGGTTTTTCCAGTGAATATCGTGCTTAGCCACCCGTAGTATTGTTCTGACGTAATTATGAAACTTCTTTTAGTTCTTACCAAATCTTCCTTTCATCAAGACTAGTTGGGCGAGCGTCGGCAGTGGTGGGTTTATATTTAATATCAAAAGCTTCTTTGAAACATAAAGAAACGCCAAGTAGTAGAGTTTTATAAATAAAAGAGACCAAAACAACTGTCTGTCACTGCGGGTTTTGGCTCCTCTCTCACTTTTTCTTGAGGCAAATAATATCGGTTGCACTCGCCTTTGCGTTCTACCAAGTATTTCTACAGCATATTTCGTTTCGTTGGGCCTGTCTTGCGCTCGTGTTCTATTGTATTTTTAAAATCGTATGAAATCGGCATGTATTCGAAATGAATGCGACGCTGGCATTTCGTGCGTTAAGTTTCGCGCGTCGAGTCTGCTCCGATTTGACACATCGTTCGTCACAACCGAACGACTAGTAAATATTGTCAGGTGAGGTTTATCGTATCCTCTCTTTATCGCTTTGCATCGGCCGTGGAGAAATCATCTTATATCATTTCAGTAAGAGGGTGCATTACCTCATATTAGCGTTTAGTTTATTATCCATTGTATTGTTTGAAACCGGAATCTTCTTAAATTCGTAAAAGTGCATTGCACATGTGGTAATATTTAATTAACCTTAATTAGTAGTTTGGCGTAAATTTGTCCGTACATTCTTTAAACTGGCGATTATAAAACATTCATTTTATAAACATGGCGGTTATTAAGTTAAGCGAACCCGATGCACGTGGATATTGATTAACGGGTACTTCGCCGGGTTGTTTCCGGGTTACGGGTTCGCATCTAGGTATGTAGGACGACTTACAAGTGTTAAAAACAGCTTAGGACTTTGGCACTAATATATACATACGTCTATAATAGTATAGTAATATCCAAATGATAGGTCGGTAAGACATCACGACGCGCAGGATAAATAGACGGACATTTCCTTCGTTTCCTTTCGCGGATTAACAGTGCGACTTGTGCGTTCTACCCGCGGGGTCGTTTTAAACAAAATTTTTACTGATTAGATCAGAGATTATTGGCACCGTACATTCGATTGTGCTACCAAATTCATTTTTGTGTAGTAAATATTTCGATTGCGCTCGCATGTCTTGTTGTCATGTAATCAAGCATCTGCCGGGCCAGTGATTTGGTTTTGGTTGGCGGCTCCACGTGCGGGGCGATCGGTTACGGAGGTGGTATCGGTTGCGGTGTTGTCCTACGAATGTTCACCGTACGCGATGATCCGTTGGCGCGCGCTGTCTCTCTTATGGGCAGGGTGAGCGCCGACAACCGCCGCTTTCAACGCGAGCGTGGTTTTCGTGAGTCGCGGAGGGCATCCGCTGGTTTGACTCGTGCTTCTTTTGGCAGTCTGCAGGACTTCCGAGTGACACGCACGGCGCGCCGCCACAGCGACGGCCACATTGTGCCGGCGATCAAGGACGGCGTGCCCGGCATGGAGGTGCTTCGCGGCGTGTATACCCTTACGCAAGTAAGTATTCCACGTGCGTCGTGTTCTTCGGTCTACATGCATCCTTGTTCTTCAGAAACATTTACATTTTATTGTACATACTAGAATTATTCCTCTCGTTTACGAAACGGTTCAAATAATACAAATAATAATGATTTTTTTGTGGGCATTTGAGCATATTGCCATATTTTTCCTCTTCGAATTTCGTTAAATCTACTAATATTGGAATATAAATCCAACTAGAACTAGAACTTGAATTTGCTGTCCGCGTAGCACATCTTCTTCCTCCCTCTTGTAATTTTTAATCGACATTTAATTTTTTGTTGTTCTTATTTGGGTAACGCGGACGTGTCTCGCATTAAATCTTGAAAGATTTCTTTGGAAATGTAGAATCTTCACATTGCCTTGAGGAGAGAGGGCGGTAAATTTTTTCCGGCCTATAAATACGACGCGTAATTTTGTGTTTTTTTTAATATAAATTTATTTTCCCGAGTTTTTAAACATGTAAGGCAATATTTTGCAGATCAATCATGTAACCATCGACTCGTTAATATTTCGCCTGCACAGCAATGCCACTGTCATTCTGCTCGTGACGTTTTCCATTGCGGTGACAACCCGCCAATACGTCGGCAACCCTATCGACTGCGTTCATACCAAGTAAGCATTTCTTTGAATATGCATTATATCATCATGGTATTTCTGTTCTGTTAGTCTTATATAAATTTATTGAATGTTTTTGACTGGCAGAAGAGGATTTTGCCATAAATAGAATTGGGTTCGATTCTAGTTACTGATATGTTGAAATGGAGGTTAAAATAGAAATCCAACAATACGAAAAAGTGTTCAAATAGAATAATAGTACGGAAGTGACAATGTTAATAAGCATTTATTCGCCGACCACCCGATCGGCTATAATTGTCACTTCTAAGAAGTCCAACTTCATCTCCTCGTCTTTATTTAGCTTTAATTGCTTTAGAGCCTTGCTTCTTGCTATAAATATTTAATAATGAGTCTGCAAAGCGACTAAATTATTGCATTTTCACAACAATATTTTTAATAATAGATTGTAACATAGCTGAAACAGTTTTGTGTTCGAAGGCGTTTTGAAGAAGGAATTTATGGAATTTGGCATTCTTATTTTGGCATTCGCTAATGTTTTTTTTTTTACATTTTGGTCTGTCTTTCTTTCACGGCTTTCTCATATTGCCAAGATTGACACTAAAATTATATATACTAGTTATGTGTGTAACTCATTGCATTTCCGCTTTCTTAAATGTTTTCTTCAATGTCGTGTGTTCTGCATAATGTCTGCTTTCCGAACACACGAATAATCTAAGATACAACCCCTAAATTTTTATTTACAAGTCGAACGATATTTATAATAGAAAAAGTGCGTTCTTCCTAGTATTTCTATCGGGAACATAATTATTTACCTGGGAGCATAATTATTACCTCGGTTTATTGCTTGTCAAATATTTCAAACTTGTTTACTTTTAAATATCTTGTTTTCGCACGATTTTAAAAAAGTAGCCTATATCATGCAATCACGTTAAACCACTGCTTGCGAAATTGCTCGCTCGGTAAATATCACATCATGTTTCCTAAACAAAAGTCCCAAAAATATATGCACTGGTATGTATGTTTTCTATATGAAAATTTCATGTTTCTCCGCCAGTGATGTATGATGCATTCAGGCCTGGGAATACGTTCGTTCTAAGTTTGTCTTCTTTATCGTCAAATTTAAGTCATTGCCAGTGCGCTGCACACGCGGCAAGAAGTGCAACAGTGTTCTGTGCGCTATTCTAAATTTCAGCGATGATCACGTTCACGCGTGTCCTACTAATCTAAAATGTGCGTGCTGGACGCTTGGGAAAATTTATTTTTGCAGCTAACCGTGAAATGCATTCTACATTTCGAGTACACACACGAATTATTCGCGAATCGCAAACTTTTGCTTTGACGTGCGTCAATTTGCAAATCTGACTCGGTCTCACCTCTTCTATTTATAATATGTCGCCATTGATTTCACTGAGAACAAATACAACACCTAAATATTTAGTTGTATCAGCCCGTAGTACTGGAGAACAACCCTTCTGCTTTTATTTTGTTTCTCGCGTTAGGAAAACCAGATGCCCAGAAAACGATAAAGATCTCCAGAATTCAGCAGAAACCGGATTGTTGGGTATTCACTGCTGCATATCTAATTGTTCTTCTGTAACTTCTTATAAAATTACCACACATTTCGTCGTCCGTTAGTGTGACGTGTGTTGGACGCAAGTAATTATTGTATCTTTATTTAATTACGCAATGGTTTGTAGTCAGAAAGTTCCTTCAGCGAGTTTGCTGTGTTTTTCAATTCCACGTATTTTATATTGATATAAATTAAACGCATGTGTTAAACATTGAAAAGCTGAAAAAAAAATAACGTGCGATTAGTCGGGTTTGTGTCGTGAAATGAAAATAGAGGCTGGACGGACTATGTTTATAAGATGCCGGCCAAAATAATTCAGTTAAAATCGCATTAAAAATACGACCGCCGACTGTAGGCAAACAGTAGTAAACTGTAATAAAATAGGAATTGATAATAAACCCCAAACCCAAACTTGTTGCAATATTTAATTTTTTTATTTACAATTAATAATGGATGTAACTTTAAATTACAAACATTATTCCTGTCGTTACTCGTATTGATGCGTGGCACTCACCCGTCTTCTATACTTTTTATTCGCTTTTACTATGCGGTGCTATGTTGTTCTTCTGCAATTCTATTTTATTTTCTGCACACAGGGATATCCCTGAAGATGTCCTCAATACGTATTGTTGGATACACTCGACGTATTCGGTCATTGATGCATTCATCAAGAAACCTGGCGCCCAAGTCGCTTATCCAGGAGTTGATAATTCACTCAAGGCTCCTGGACGCACCGCTGTCAAGCACGTGAAATATTATCAGTGGGTGGCATTTATGCTCTTTTTTCAGGTGAGTGTATAAAATGTATAAAAATAAATACTCCACACTTGTTTTCCAATAATTACTAATGTAGTAATAATTTAATAATAAATTGGCGTCGATTGTTTGATCGTACCAATTCTGATTTGATACAAAACAATACAATCGTATTGTATGATAGGCAAGTGTTTATTAATTTGGGGTTTTTCTAATCCAGCTGCAGTGTTTTTTTTTACTATGGTTACATGTTAATATGGTGCAAAGCGTGAATCATTTATATTAAACATCAACCGATTAATCCAAAACAAAAGCATTCCTTTATTTTTCCGATTTATAAAGCGCGTTGACAATTGTGCAGTTGAGTCAAACGAACCGAATAAGCCCTACGATATACGACAAGAACGCGCGTATTAACTAAAAACGGTATTTATAGTTCTCTAAACGACTAGGTTACACCAGGTTTGAAGCAGATGTGTGTGTACAGAGTGATTTGAGAAATCCATGATGCAAAAGTGGCATTGTTGTTCATTTGGAACATAGTTTTCTTTGTTAAAATAGTACGGACTTTGAGCAAATTTAATAAAATTTATTTTAACAATTAGGAGGTGATTTGTGTGCGTTGGGCAAGTGAGTTGGTGAAGTTGTGCGCGTTGTGCGTGTTGCGAGCGCGTGGCCAGCTAAATACGAAAAAGTTTCGCCTGGTCTAAAAGATGCTGCTGCGGCATGCTGCAGGAGAAAAGCGTTTCGACTTGCCGCCTCTCAACGCTTTCCTTGTGGCCGGCGTCCGCGCCCGCGACCGTTCAGTATTGAAATAGTGAGGCGTCGGGACGCTCGCGACGCGCGTATATTAATCCATCCAAATTCGAACGAAAGATCGAACGAAAAAAACTTTAGAGAAATATCAAATTTTATTACTTTAGTATTTTACAATGAACGGTTGTGGTTGCACGTATTGGATTCTTATAAACCCTTGTTTTTATTTGTGATTATTTGATACGAAAATGGGAACGTTTTAAGTTGATTGGAAACACAATTTCTGTGTTTGACATCGAGTTTTATTTAAATTTTTCACATTCCCTCATGTAGATGCATACATTTTTTTCTTCAAACTCAAGTGGTGCTTTGACATAAATTTACACTACACGATTTTCACGCCTATTTGTAAACCAGAACGGCTAAACATTTATACGACTATCGCAATCGCAAACGGCGATCATTAACCCAAACTCGCGCGGAAAACTCGTGCGCTCCGAATTAAAACAGACCACCAGGTATTCTATAGCTCTGTATAAATAAACGTCTTCGTATCGAACGTCTTCGTGGGTTGGTTTTCAGCATTTCGCAAGGCGTTATAAACAAAACAAAGCGGCGGTGTGCAACGAGCGTGTGTGTGTTGTGTCTCCAACGCGGGTCAAACTATGTGATCAAAGATGTTGGACATTTTTCGCGGGTTGAAAACCCTCATCAAAGTCAGCAACTTGCACATTGACTGCCCCGTCTTTCGACTGCATTACTCCATCACGGTGCTTATCTTGATTGCATTTAGTCTTATTGTGACCACACGGCAGTACGTAGGCAATCCCATTGACTGTATTCATACGAAGGACATCCCTGAAGACGTGCTCAACACGTTCTGCTGGATACATACCACTTATTTGGTGCGTGGAGCGTTCAAGAAGAAGATTGGTGTCGAGGTGCCCTATCCAGGCGTTGAAACCGCCAAGGACGAGAAGGACAAGATTCTCTACAAGTACTACCAGTGGGTGTGCTTTTGCTTATTCTTTCAAGTAAGGACACTTGATATAAATAATATTATTAGTAAAATATAAAATAATGATTCTGTTGCTCCGTTTAACCGGATGTTGGAATAGGAAATTCTAAGAACTGCTGTGAAAACGTGGGAAAACTCACTAAACATTAAAATATCAACCGAGTTGCGGCTTGTTTGGGTTCTGTCGTAAAGCGGCTGTGTTATTATCTTAGTGGTGGGTGTTTGTACGGATTTCGAGATGTGTAGTCGTGGAATGACTTATGGGCAAGCAATTTACGTGATGTCATAGCAATTCGCGCTCCGTTATGCTCGCAAATCTATCATGAAACCCGCATTTATATACTGCACAGTCTCTGCATAATATACTCCTATCCTATTTGGAAGGATTTTTCTTTTTATCTTGTCTTTTTTATGATTCGAGTGTAGGTTGTTTAGATGTTTATTTCATTTATTATATGTTGATCATAACAATTAAAACGAAGTTTTGTTGAGTTTTATGCTCTTCTTGAAAATTCAATTGTTTTAATTCTTGGAAATTCATCGATTTTATCTTCTTGAAATTTTTGAAGCATTTAAAGTCGCAGTGTGACGCCACTCAGCTACCGCTTTTAAGTTTGGCAACACTCTGCGGAGAGTCCTGTGAGTCGTAAAATCATTATCGAAACACATTGGGAATGCAACGTCTTAATTCGATGGCGCGCCATCCGCGCACGAACGGCAATAAAAGTTGAGTAGTGGTGGCCATCCATCGATTTTAAGCAGAGAGTAGCATTAATAATCTCGCCATGATGAAAATATGAATACATAATTTTAATGCATGTGCTGCGCACACGCGTTTTCTTCACTGCACACGTGGCAAGCAGTCGGCACGTGGATGTTAAACATAAAAACATAAACGAATTAGAATGCAGTGGCGGGCATCATTCGTTTACTTTTACGACTGTTCAACTTTTAAAATTTAGTAGTATTGCACAAGATGCCACTTTGTGGTGTAAGTTCAAAAACAACTATGAATTTTTCCAAATTTTTCAAATTAATTATTTCCTTTCTTCTATTAACTGACGTAATTCATAAGCAATGGCCTCGACGCAACATCCCCCCTTCCTGTTTTCGATCGACAATAAAATCTTCTAATACTCTTACCCTCAGGTATGTCTCCCTCGCTGGGTTTGGGTTTGTGTTATTAAAGTGTAGGTCTGAACCGATTCTTATTATCTTGTATCGAACACATAATGCAATGCAGGCTCGCAAAATTTCAAGTGCAAGCGGACATAAATAACTCATAAACGTTATGTATCAATTTGCATGCGCATCTTCTAAGTGAAGTGCCCCGCATGGATTTGCAACTGTTGCAGTAAATCAATGTTGTATAATCAGACCTTTTCTTCGTGTGCTTTTTTATTATTGCCAATTCGTTTGCTTATATATTTTCTTCACGCGTATCTGTCATATATGTACACTATCTTTCCAAGTTTTTACCGTGTACTGGTATTGTTTGCTATGTCGTGATCAGGTAATAACTGGTTAAATGGCAACGCCGCACATCTTTGTACGTTAATATAAACTTGAGCAAGCTTTTGCAGCTGCGAACTTAAAATATATTGGAATAATCTTATGTAAATAATTCCATTGATAAATTTTTATATTTATATATATAATGCACACAGTCGTTTCACACGTTTGATATAACATTCGTATTGGATAATGTAGCAACAACGTAGTTGCGCGTGCTCGTGATGGCGTTTCCGTTGAGAATACTTGGTTTGGCGGACATATTTAAAGACGGAAAGTGCACAATTTGTAGAACTATATTTACGTTCGCGACGAAAGGCACCGCAGTGTTAATACTATTGTTTTTTGGCTTAATACTTTCAAAGTATGCGTGGACGGAATCGATACGTTGCACATCACCGACCGTTTCAAGGGACTTTTTGGGTAAATCATATTGAAATAGGAATTTTTATCTTAATTATAATGCTGACACATATTTTTTTACACTTGTGATTGGATGTATAGATTCGTTATGTTGGGCATTGTCGACGTATAGTGTGAAAGATGCCTTTGGGAAGCAGGTTGGCAGAGATGTAATTTATCCAGGCATTGAGAATACACGTGGCCGGACCGATCTGTTACATTACACTTACTATCAATGGGTACCGATTATGTTATTATCACAGGTATATACAAAGATTTATATTTAAAATGTAATACACGCCACCATTTTCTTGGAGGATCTTGCAAATTTCTATTCTGATTTTAACCAAGTTGGATTGCGTTCGCAGTTGAGGTTCTTGGATCCACCGATCGGTAGAACGCCCTTGTTTCTATTTTAATATTTATTATAAACTTTCGAGAATTCTTTGCTATGTACATTTTCTACGTTCTGTTAGCGCACGTTTTTTTTATCTGGTCGTAACAGTCACAGTTTAAATTACTAGACGACTTTGAATTTTCATTGTGTGATATATTATATTTGCTGCAAGTAATCGAGAGACAGCAACAAATGTCATTTCACAGATATCTGTACCACCAGTATTATGAAACGCACTAATATAATTGAGGCATATAGTTTTTATGGTGCGTTTAAAGTTGTACGAAAATCTGCCGCGAGAAGGAGAACAGACGCACAGAAATATTTATGTCTGTGAGATTAATATTGCTTTCAGCATTTTAGCATATTTCACCGCGTTTCACATGTGCTAGGTTCAATATTGTGTCAGTGCATGTTTCCAAACGGTAACTTTATCTTAACGAGTTCATCTCTGATTTAATTATACTCAAATTTAAGTTTTGGCCCTGGCATGTCGTGCCATTTTGGATTTATACAATTACATATAATATTAATTAAAAGTACTTAAAAAAGTTCAGAATTATGAATTTTTTTCAAGAAAGTAAGTTTTCATGTAGGTACTTAAACTTTTTAAATATAATTTGAATTCATTTTAGATGTAACTTAATGAATTCTTTAAATTTTTATTTTGAAAACGATAATATCCTCTCGGATATTTAATAATATCCAATTTCTTGTTCTTCCAAGCATGTCGAAGGAATGGACAATCCTAGTATAAATTGAAGTAAATTATGATACTGGACTAAAAGCTTTTTATATTTATTATTTTCGAATTAAGAGTTTTAGAAAAGTTGAAATTTCCTTGTGCTTAAAACTTTTTCACTAAGAATACATTTTTGAAATAATTCTTTATTTAGCTTATGTTAATAATTTCTTTCAGGGGTACAGTAATAATCCGGTTTTCAATTCTGTCCCCTGCATGTCGTGTAGAATGTCGTCTAAAAGATGACGTTAATATTAATCGACGAGATATATTTGACAACCTTGTTTTAAATTAATATGGGTGTGTATAAGAAGGATCTATTTCTAGTGTAAGCCCGTCTTCTTCACAGTGTTCATCGTCTTGTAGAATTTATAGTCACCTTTAAATACGCCAACTCAAGCTCAAGTTTAAGCTCAATTAGAACATAAACGTAAGAAAACGACTATCCAAAACCCCAATGATGTATGTCCCGGGATTTTATCGTCTTCACTATCCTCCATGTGTTAAATAAGTAAACAAGCTTGTAGACAGTCTACAATTGATTACATACAGTGTGTTTTGTCAGCGCAAAACGCATAGTGTTCTTTGAATATATCTATTTGTTTTGATTGGAAAGCTCCTAAAACAGTTGCGCTTGCACTTAACGTAGGGAAGAATTGAAACTGCGGAAAATAAAAACAATATACATTCTACCCGACCATTGAAAGAATTATTTCAGTTGGTCGGGAAATACTAAATTTCACTGTTGTTTCAAGACTTATTATAGATACTTATTTTTATTCGAAATTAGTGATCTATATGGAATAATTGCATTTTTGCTCGCATATTATTAAAATTAATCTTCCTTAGTATGCAAATGGTTTGTTGTATGCTATATTATAGGTTATTTAATGGCATCGAGTATGTTTGAAGGAATATCCGGTTTCATCATTTCGTTGAGAGGTCTAGCCAATCGAGTGAAATTTATGGTTCATGGGAAATTGCAATAATTGTAATAACTTCCTAATAATATACACACCAAAATTGTATTACACCAAATAGAATGCATCTTCAAATAGTGATTGGAAAAACCGAGCCAATATTATTTATATTGTTATCATATTCGGTGTCTAGAAGCAAATATTTATTGTTACTGCTATAGATGATATCTATCAATTCCTCGTATGGTGCACAATGTTTACATATTTGTAAAATGAAATAATGCCAATACTTTCGGCAGCTCTCTGCTCCTTACACCTCATTTGTAAAATTGCTTGTAGGGTAAAACTTAGCTAACCTTACCCTACTGGTATGTATATTAATACATAATTGTATATTTGCCAAAGTGTACCCAATGGACTAAATTTAGCTCGTTGGCTCCGGAGCGTGAAGGCATGCAAACAAAGATTATCACTAAAAGCATTCGCATTCGCTCTCATTTTCTGTTTCGGATTCGTTTTCGTTTTATGCCTACGTCGACCGCGTTCGGCCGCCGACGCGAGGCATCAAACAACAGCAGTCCAGGCCTCCAGTGGTGCAGGAGCAGTAATTAGTTCCGCTAATGCACATTATTCGTTTCCTTGCACGCTCCCATTGAAGCGCGCGCATAACAACCGCCCGCGCTCTACAGTTATAAATTCAGCGCTTATTATAACAGTGCGTAACTTATATTTGTTGCAAGAGTGCGCTGCGGCAGGCGTTGATATAAAGTTTATTTTGGAGCGCCATTGACATGACTTAAATGCGTGCTTTTTACATGAATTATATGTAAACAACGAAACATGTGCGTGTGCGGTCGCAACCGCGAAAAGCTGTGCTTCCGATAGTCTTGCATATTTCTGGTCGGCAAATTCATTAACGCTCGTACTAAGCTTTCAACGCGACACGTTCGTGCATAAACAATCACGGTATCAGGATGATGTGAAAAAACCGAGTAGTAGCTTCAAAATAAATAAACAGGATGACTTGACTATTGACCTTTTAGTTCCTTTGAGTGTGGCTAAATTTTTTCATCATTATTGATTAGTTATTATTGGGCAATATAAATGCAATTTTTTTTTGGCTTGAGAAAAGTGGGATGTGATTTTAAAGCGATTTAGAGCTCTGATTTGGTTGACGTTGTATTGGCGGTTCGGCACCAGTCAATGCTGTATGCTGCTACCGAGTAGAGAGGCGTGTGCGTAACAGTTGCAGCATGCGTTTTAACTGTTTGGCTCGCCGCCAAATTATGTAATTAAGTCGCGGAGCGCGAGCACCAAACATAACCAAATTCAAATTGCATTTGCTACGATGTTTCCTAAAGTAAACTGTTTTCTTACACAGTTTTTACACGCTAAATACAAATCAAACAGATGAATCACCACAATATTCATTATTTATAGCAATACAGGAACGGTAAAAGAAAGATCAGAATCTGGAAATTGTGTTCAAAAAGTCTTGTACGAATACTTTAAATAAAAGCAACAAATTTGTTTATGTGTTTAAAAGTTTTCATCAAATATATTTTTACACCCGGTATGCAAAAATAAATATGCATAGCGGTTGTGTACATAAACAGTCTTTCCAAATTTAAAAAGTGCCAATCGTTGTTTTATTGCGAGAATTCTTTTTGTCTTTGTAGGCGATACTTTTTTATACACCACGATGGCTGTGGAAATCCTGGGAGGGTGGAAAGATCCACGCGCTCATGATGGATCTCGATATTGGCATTTGCTCCGAAACAGAGAAACGAATCAAGAAGAAACTGATGATCGATTATCTCTGGGAGAACTTCCGCTATCACAATTGGTGGGCGTACAAGTACTACTTCTGCGAGGTGTTGGCTTGCATCAATGTCATAGGTAAATATGACACACTAAATACTTATAATCTTACTACTGAACAGTAATATCTCATAATTTTGCGAAGAAATACTTTTTTCATTAATTTTTCTTTGATTTACTTTAATTTTTCCCGTTTTATATTACAATGGTGTTTTTGGCAAGCTTTTTTTCTGCCGAGCAGTTATTAATGTCTAGCACAACTTTTTAATATTCTGCGCGTGTCCACAACATGTGTTTTCCTCTAACAAGGCAACAAAAAATCTTTCTTTGCCAAATTTGTCTCTGTTGCCAACGTCAAGAAAGTTTCGCGACTGCAATAATTAATTGCATTTCAAGTATATTTCCTCTACTTTCAACAACATCTTTTAACTGTATTATTTTTTATAATACAATCTATATTTAACTGTTGGTTTCTTGCAGGTCAAATGTTTTTGATGAATCGTTTCTTCGACGGCGCTTTTCTTACGTTCGGAATCCGCGTAATAGAATTCATGGAAAGCGACCAGGAAGATCGAATCGATCCGTTGATTCTTGTCTTCCCAAAAATGACCAAGTGCACGTTTTACAAATTTGGTGTGTCCGGTAACGTGGAGATGCACGACGCCATTTGCATCTTACCGCTGAACGTCGTCAACGAGAAGATCTACGTCTTCCTCTGGTTCTGGTTCATCATCTTGTCGCTACTGACTTTTATTACGATTGTATACCGTTTTATCATTATTCTCTCTCCTCGAATGCGCGTCTATCTGTTACGTATGCGCTATCGTCTTATCAAAAAGGACGACATTGATCTGTTGGTGCGCAAGAGCAAAATGGGGGATTGGTTCCTTTTTTACATGCTTGGCGAGAATGTTGACTCGCTTATATTCAGAGATGTCATTCACGAGCTGGCACACAAGCTGCGCAATCATCAGTTCCAAGATTGCTCTCGAGGATTCAAGGATATTCACCAGGAACCATGACAACAGTATTTATATTATTAATTGGCCGCTGACGGTATGATTAATAATAGTGGTTGTTAAAACAATATATAAGATCGAATTCCAACATCTGATAATTCGATTAAGCTCAAACATCTGTGGATGTATGCGCGAAGGAAGCGCGACGCATGAATAAAATGACGTAAAATATTAAGCACTGCCTGAATTTCGTTGCCGATTATATATTAATAATAAAACACCAAAGATGTTTCAAAATCTATGCAGCACAAACGTTAACATATATCAATTTGTAATGCCAGTGGCTACAGTGCAACAAGCTAGGTCATACAAATCTTTTAATATCATAAATTTTGTGATAATTAAAAGGTAATTGATTTAGCCTTAGAACATACGTTCTGCGGGCATAATACGTTTATAATTCCAATTCATATTAACTAAATAAATACCGAGAATGACTTTGTTTTATATATAAAAAGACATGCACTTTATTACAATATGTTTAATTTATGTACTTTTTTATAATGTGCGTTTTCTAATATTTAAATCGAAACATACGATTTTTCTTTATATAACTCGAAAAATTTATATTTATTTCATCAATGAATATTAATGTAATTAAAGATTGGATGTAGTAGACGTGGTCAGATTAAAAATTAAGTGTAAGAGTGTCGATGTTCTGTCTGAAAAAAGGATCGAATATTATTACCAGCTACGAAAGTATTTCATGTATGTATTCATTATGTTACTCGCCGTAAACTAGATGCGTTAATTTGCAAGTAATTAACTTTAGTACCTACATATTGTAATGTAATTCAATCTATAAAAATATATGTAAAAATGATGCAAGCCGAATCACATAAATATAATTCTAATTATAACGTAAAATGCATATATTTAAACTTCAACTTGGTTAAGAAACACGAACGTTTTTTGTAATTGGAATTCCGCAAAATACATTTACCAACTAGCTGACCCGGCAAACTTTGTTCCGCCTCGCTTTGCTCTTGTGATTGAGAAGCACAGAGTCGAGTCATACTAACACGGCGCTTTTCACGTGCAATTTTTTGTTTTTCTTCAGTCCTTTCATTCGCAATCCTTCGAAAAATCGAGCCAGTCGTTGTAGCAGAGTTTCAAGAAGAAATCTCTTTCTTCTGTAATAAAATTGCGAAAAAAGTAGTTATTCCACACAACACCATCGTCATTCCACCATGCTGCTAACTCTTCTTCGCGAACTTTATCAACTCTATCCCACATTTCTACCCAACGACTGTACGATATTTCCTATATTTTTTTTTTAATAATTATTATAAAATTATAGTAAGTACACACATACCTTTATCAATAATGGTATCAAACTCAACGGTATTTCGCCTATGTAGTTTTTATATGTTTCACCATTTGAATCTATTTTATTAGCTAACGCGGTTAATGAAAAGGTTTCTAAGCGGAACATTTTTCAAGTGTGCACAATTAACGTTTTGTTGTAACACTGATTTGGGTTGCGGTTGTCTTTAAAAATGTAACGTTTCACGCACGTCTATGCTTAGGGGGACGCTACGAATCGCACGTCTATGCTTAGGGGGAAGCTACGAATTGCACGAAGGTGAGACGGAGATAAAAAACATTATATTTGTGTGCTCTTTTTTTCCCGTAGGCTAAACCATATAAGCGAATATGTTTGTTTCCTTTTAGTGTCGTTTAGTGTTCTCTAAAGGAGTTTTTACTTCAGAAAGTATCCTAGTAACCTTCTCCAAACAAAAACATCAACCGATCAACTTCAACCCACACGTACACACATACACACGTCTATGCGTGTGACGGGGATAATAGAAAATTTTGTATTTACGATATCACAAATAATTAGCAATAAATTAAAATTGCGACTATAATTTGAGATTTAAACTATCCTATCTTTCAAGTTGGATCGAACTGCACATGGTGTGCGAATTTTATTATAATCGGTTAAGTGGTTTAGGAGTCCATTGAGGACAAACATTGTAACACGAGATTTATATATATATATAGATAGATATGTCTTTTCGATCGTTTTCTAATTGAAAATTCATCTATCGTAATCAAATATAAATTTTATTTAAATTTTTCTTTACGTGAAAATTATTAACTTCCCGAATGGAAGTGGCTTTCTATGTATTTGTTATATTTCTGAGGTTCTGAGTTTAATTGGCACTCAATTCATTCTCTGTTCTTACTATATATGAAATGAATATGTAGTTACGATCCCGAATTGTTTTCGTTTTCTTTACTACACGTGGAGTTTATCCGTGAATATAAACAATTTGACATGCGCAATGGCAGCCAAACAGGTCTTGTGGTATCACATCGGTGAAGTTTACAGTTGGTGGAGTTAGTTTCTGTGGTTAGTTTCTTCACGAGTTATTTTGTATTATTAATCTTTATTTTATTTTCTTCTATGGTGCGCGTGTGTTGTGGCCGTCGCATTTCGGATTATAGTGCCCGATTCTTACATTGGTTCCGAACACATTTCTCTTCCGTCGAAGTATACGGTTGCATGATCTATCCTATCTAGTAAGTAATTATAGAATTCCTAAAAACCATTCCGATCAATCTCATTTTCTTTACGGATAAATTATAGTTATATTATTCGTACTGGGATGACGCCCCACGATGCAGATATTTGGACCCCTTAATAGCTTGTTTCTAATAGTGAGGTCACTTTTTACTAAGCGTACTAATAATTTTCTTTATTAGCAAATTGCACCTCTGCGAAGTTGAAAGGATGCATAGTATTGGTCTTTTGTTGAATCGTGTATATATTTTTTACTTACCAGTATCATGCGAAAACTTGAATTCTTTTGATCTTGCTTTCTTTGAAATCAGGCATCATCGTTGGTTATTCTGAAGCTCTTTTTCCAAAATATGTTTCTCCATAACATGTAGCTTATAATCTCATCTTATGGCTCTTTCTAGGACCTCATGATTTGTTCCTGCAATTGGAACTAAGAGTATTAACAATATATCAAAATGTCATAATTTGTGTATGCATTGGCCTTAATTGCGATGTTGCGCAAAACATAAACTGCATAAATAATACCCTCTTCTAATCACAGGAACAGGGAGGATATCATAATGTAGGAGAAACTTGATGCCTGCCAGTGTTGGGTTGAACTTATTTTGTAAAAATATGTTACAGAAGTTTGGGTTTAACCATTTAAAAACGGTTTGCCTTTTGCGTCGTTTTCTTTAAATATATTATTTTTGGAACTTTTATTGGATGTAATTTGGACTGTCTCGTGAATCGTCCGCGATATTGCTTGTGTGGTTTAATAAGAAGTAAATTTTTTTTAGATTTTTATTAAAATCTGGTAGAAATTGGGATGCTTGTGTCCGTTATATTTAATTCGTTGCCTCGGAGTAATTTTTTCTTGTATAAATAAAGGGAATCATTTCGTGAATATAGGTATGCGTTAATATTTAAAAATGTCTTCATATTTTATAACGCGTGAATTGCATTTAACAATGCAACTACCCACGAATTAAAGTTTTGTGTAATTTTTGTATATATTTTGCGCTTATTGAGTGGTCGGAGAGCGTAGGATAGAAGGAGAGCGCTTAATTAGCTGAAGAAAACTTCTTAGTACGGGTGATAAATGTTTTTATTTGTTGAGCCGTGTTGTGATCATTTTCGTAAATAGTCGGACTAATTTTCAGTGTTTTAGGGGACGACTGAACACGCCTACGGGGGACAGTGTGGCACAGCATCGGATTGTAAGTATTGAAATCATCATTGAATCATTCAAAACACTATTATTATTATAAAAAAAAAAGTTTTGTTTTAAGGGTCCAAGGAGTTGAAGCCGACTTTGCAGGATAGCGGGACTTGCATCAGATGGTAAGAATGTATTTGAATTCTTTATTGTTTATAATTTAATGTAGTATTTTCATTAATAATACATATTCGTAAAACGAGTGGAACGGTGAAATAATTATTTTTAAGAGCAGGCGTGCCCCGATTCATATTTTATTTATTGTATTTTAAAGAATCTTTTTATTTTAATATATTTATTTTTGTTTATAGCTGGTAAGTTCGATATGCAAGTTGGTTTGCGGTTTTTTTCATGTTTTGAATGCGCAAAGTGTTATAAAATGCGATTTTGCAACCCCTGTATATACGCAGGAATTGCTCGATAATTGCACTCGAAATTTTATACGTTTTCAAATTTTACTCGAGATGCATTAGTATTATTTATGCCTTCGCTGCCTGCGCTAGAGGAGCTACCTCTATATTATTTCTAAATTTATCAGCAAAAATGAACAATTTTAGGAAAATTTGACAACATGGTGAGAATAACCTCCTGCTTTTAGTGAACTAATTGACTTTCTTAAAGTTTCTCTACGCCAGAATAGAGTTAGAGAGTTCCTCTACACGATGCATACCCATTCAACCTTCCAGCCCTTCCGGAAATGGCCTAAAATGCTCTTCAGGAAAATTTGAAAACGTGATCGGGCAAACACTCTGTATCTAGTGAACTAATTGACTTGCTTAGAGCTTCTCCCCGCTAGAATAGAGTTAGAAAGTTCCTATACAAAATGCGTACCCTCCAACCTCTCAACCTTTCAGAAAGTGCCTTAAAATGATCTTCAAAAATGAGCAATTTTAGGAAATTTTGAAAACATGGTGTAGAAAACACTCTGCATCTAGTGAACTAATTAACTTTCTTAAAGTTTATACGATGCATACCTTTTCAACTATCCAGCTCTTTCGGAAGTGCCCTAAAATGCTCTTCAAAAATGAGCAGTTTAAAAAGAATTTGAAAACATAGTGCGGAAAACACTCTGTATCTCGTAAACAAATTGACTTCTAGTTTCTCAACGCCAGAGGAGAGTCAGGGAGTTTGTCTATACGATGCATACTCTTTATACCTTCCAGCCCTTTTGGAAGTATCTTAAAATGCTCATCAAAAATGAGCAATTTTAGGAAAATTTGAAAATATGATGTGTAAAACAGCTTGTATCACGTGAACTAATTGATTTTCTTGAAATTTCTTAACGTCATGTTAAAGTTCGAAAGACCCTTTATACTATGCACACCTTTTTAACCCTATAAACCCTTTGGAAGTGTCTTAAAATCCCAATCAAATATCGCTAGTTTTTTTCAATAAATTTCTTTTTTTTTTGCTCTAATAACAGGGTCGAACTTTTTTAATAAATATTTTTTGGTCGAAGAACAGGGTCGAAATTTTTTATTAAAAGTTTTTCGGTCGAATTTTTGAGTTAAAATTTTCGGTCGAAAAACAGAATCGAACTTTTTTTCATAAAATTTTTTCGGTCGAATTTTTTTGTTAAAATTTTTTCGGTTGATTTTTTGTTAAAATTTTTTCGGTAGAATTTTTTGTTAAAATTTTTTCGGTAGAATTTTTTTATTATAATTTTTTTGGTCGATTTTTTTTTGGTCGAAAAACAGGGTCGAACTTTTTTACTTAAAATTTTTTGGTCGCATTTTTTTGTTAAATTTTTTTAGTCGAAACACAGGGTCGAACTTTTTCACTTGAAATTTTTGCGGTCAAATTTTTATGTTAAAATTTTTTTGGTCGGAAAACAGGATCGAATTTTTTTATTTAACATTTTGAAATACAATGGTAGTACGAGAGGGTGAGTATAAGCTAAGTAAAGTGAAGTAAACACTTACTGTACGCTATACCCTCACAAAATCGCTGTAAAACGATATATTACTAAACCATTGCAAGTCAATGCAAGTATTTGTCAAGCCTGATGTGGATAGCTATTTCGACCATTAGAGGTCTCATCAGCACACCTACTGGCTTGACAAATACTGCATTGACCTGCTATGGCTTCTATACAACTGTTCTAACAAATAGACATATTTTTTTGATCAATGAATAGGGTCGCACTATTGTGTTAAAATATTTTTCGGTCGAAGAACAAGATCGATTTTTTTAGCGATTATGTCAAAAACAAAACGCTTAATGTTAGTTACTAAAATAAACGATGTAGAATTAAATTATCTATCAGAATCCGATTAAGAATTTAATAAAAATTCATAGTTCTATTCATGTTCCTGCACTACCACACAGAAAGTGTCAGTGTTTACAAACAAATATGTTTTCTTATCTCAATTTTTGTGTGATCGCCACGCGGTTGGCTTGTGTACCACGTTAGTCTCATATTTGTCGTCAGGAGATCTGCACGCATATTTTCTTCATTATTTTTGAGTTGCTAAGTGCTTTTTCGATTGTGTGCGATTAATGTGCGGGGTTCGTACCACGCGGATTGTACATACTCAGAGGTAAAACGTGAGTGATGTTCCGTCGGTCGTCGTATTATTTTTGTATTATTCGCGTATTTCATCGTTTCTACAATGTGTGTAATTAAGGTCCATACAACTTATTGGATATATCCATTATTAACTTTATATGTTTGCGCTTTTCCAATTGTTTTACCTGATTCAAAATAAAATTCTGTTTTGTGCTATAAAATTTAAATTTTGTTTTTAGATTCCGAAAGTAAATTAAATTCTGAATGTAGTAACACAATTACTGATTAAGGCCCTATTGACATGTTAAAACCAATTTTTGTATTAAAAATGCAAATTGTATCAAACTAATTTACATTGTTATACCGATACATAAATAATAAAAGTATACAATACTACAATTATCTACCTGGTGTCCCCGACGTAAACATCTGGTTACGTCGGCTGACAATTCTCTTTCCTGCTTAGTCGGTCGTGCGCGGTGATGTCGTGAACACGTATTTTGTTCGTGAGTCTATCTGCCTAGTTATCGCGTTTCTTGAGATGTTAATATGATAGTGACATGGACTACAATGAATGTCAGCCAGTGTGACATACAGTTATTGTATTGTCGCTCAGAGAATCGGATATTAAGTTACTTTGCTAACATTGGTGGCTGCCGTCGGGTACCGTCCGCTTGCTAATAGGTCGAATTGGTATTATTATTTATTTATTCAACGGTTAATTTGTTAAAATAATGCAAATTAAAACTAACGTATTTCTTAATTTTAACATGTATTTGTTTTTGCATATAAATGAATTTTTAACTGGGAAATTCAATTTGCACTGTCCGGACAGTCCTGACGATACACTCACCCGCGAAACAATTGTCGATTTATCAATAAACCAGTTCAAATAGACTAAAACAGTCTCAGTTAAAAATCCATTTATAAGTTAAAAATGCACAAAAATAAATTGCACAAAATTATCAAGACAACCCAAGTATTCTTTATACTCGATCCACAAACCACTATTTAATTTAATTAACAGATTGTTTGTTTTTCTCCGTTGTGTGATTATAATATTATCAAATCGTATGAAATATTTTTGTTTTAACTTATATTTTCTTTTTTTATTTACAGTGCTCACCGTTCTATGGAGTTTTTTACAACCACACACTACTTGATTTCGATAGTAATGTGATCATCACTCAATCATGTATTTGGTTTTTCTTCCGGCAGAAAAATGTATGTATGTAAACGAAACAACTTAGCACCACCTAATATGTTTATTGTTTATTGTTCAAAAAAATTAAATAACTATATAATTAAGATTAGTTTGTTTCGTGTATGACTTTCGTTGTTTTCAATTTCATTGCAATATCAACCTTGTTGCATATTTGATAAATGTGTTTTGAATATTTTTAAGTTGAATTAAATAGCATTAAATATTGCTTGTTGGTGGTAGTGAGTGCACACCGTGTCCGTGTGGATCACGCGATTTCGCGCAAGAGATAAGTTTGTTTACCTGCAGGTATCGGAACTTTATTTCGTGGAATCAAAACACACCGTTGCTGTGTATTATATTAGCATCGTAAATCTAAGTAAATATTCTTCAATTCTTTTATGAATATAACAAACAATTTTATATTAATTCTAATAGTTTATTATAAAAATCATCAAGAATGCAAAACATTTTTATTATCAGCAGATGATTACGGACTAATGGGTTATCTGGTAAACGAGAAACGATGCATGTTCAAATTAAATATCACTTAAATATTTAATGTAAAATCTGGCAATCTGTCACCATAAGAAATCAGAATTACGCAAATCGAATTTTAATTTTTTATTACCTTTACTAATCTAAATTTCGAAACTACTGTATCATTTATTGATGGCAATAGCATGGACTAAAAATTGTAAAATAAACTTGTATTGTTTATTTCTATATTTATCAGCAAGCGTGAACCTTCGACACAAGAATTGTGTTTGTTTGAACACAATATACACTTTTTTATCGCATTGCCGTGTGTCGTCGTTGCCAGCACCTCGTGAAATATTTATTGTTTTTTTTTCGGTTTGCGCGCGATCTAAGCGGGTGACTAACTTCAGCGTTGTGTCTAGAGATGCGGAATTAAATTCTCCGTCGGATTGTATTTGTTTGTTGCCGGAATTCGACCTGCAACCCACAAAAATTTGCATAAAAGGGTGATTTTTGTCACCCTTTATCGTGAAATGTTTGTATTTTTTCGTGTTTTCCCGCGATCTAGGCGGCTCACTATCGTCAGCGCGGGGTCTAGAGATGCGGAATTAAATTCTCCGTCGGATTGTATTTGTTTGTTGCAGTAATTCGACTTGCAACCCGCAAAAATTTGCATAAAATTGTGTTTTTTTATTGTTTTTTTTGGGTACGCACGCGATCTAGGCGTCTCACTAACTTCGGCGCGGCGTCAAAAGATGCGGAATTAAATTCACCATCGGATGGTAATAGTTTGTTGCAGGAATTCCCCCTGTAACCCGCGACAATTTGCATAAAATTGTAATTTTTGATTGTTTTTTGGGTTTTAGCGCGATCTAGGCGTCTCACTAATATCAGCGCGGCGTCAAAAGATGCGATATTAAATTCTCCGTTGGGTGGTAGTAGTTTTATGCAGGAACTCCCCATGTAACCCGTGAAAATTTGCATAAAATGGTGATTTTTTTTTATTGCTTTTCGGATTTGCGCGCGATCTAAGCGTCTCACTAACTTCACAGCGGCATCAAAAGATGCAGAATTAAATTCTCCGTCGGGTGGTAATAGTTTGTTGCAAGAACTCCCTCTGTAACCGGCGAAAAATTGGATATATTTGTGATTTTCATGTTTTTCTTTTGGGTTTGTTCGCAATCAGAGTACGGTGCCTTGAACACGAGTCACTTCTACCGCTTGCTTCGTACGGTGCTTTGAACGGTAGTCATTTCTGCCGCTACCCTCATACGATGCCCTGAATCGAGTCACTTTTACCGCTAGCCTCGTAAGGTACCCTGAATCGAGTCACTTTTACCGCTACCTTCATACGGTGCCCTGAATACAAGTCGCTTCTACCGCTACTTTTATACGGTGCCCTGAACACGAGTCACGTCTATCGCTACCCTCGTACGATGCCCTGAATGGGAGTAATTTTTATCGTCACCCGCGTCACGTGAAGATTATAGAACTTCCAAAAATTCTTTATAGAACAGGATAATAAAATATATTAATTACGTGAAGTAAAAGTTCAAAAATAGTCGTTAAACGTGCTAAGTTAAGCGATTTTTTGCGTTGTTCCCAGTTTATTCAATTGCGTTTATCTCTGAAACTGCCGCCTTTTCATATAAACTGTATTCAATTGGACTGTATCCACAACATTAATTGTTTATACTCGCAGTTCACACTCTTGGCTCTTATCGATGTTAGTGCACAAACAACTTGTTTTTATTGCGTTGCAGCGCATCCGATGCGCCCAGCAGCGTTTGTTCTATTTCTTACTTAGTCGATCGTGTTCTGCGGTGTGGTGTGCACGCGTTTACTTGCGCGGCAGTCTTCGTGGCGACTTATCGCGTTTCCTGTGATTTTAAGTCGGTAGTTGAATTACAATAAGTCACCAAAGATAAGATTTAGAATTAACAGACGAGTGTGGCCTATAGTTAATGAGTTATCGAGCGTGGAACCAAGAATTTCGTGGTTTTACAACGTACGCATCACGTGTTTTCCGTCGGCCGTCGGATATCTTCCGTCGGCTAAGAAATACTCAGGCTTGTTTTGTGTATCCATTTAATTATTAATTTGAATGAACATCATTTGTGCATCGTATGGAATATTTCATCTGCGAAAACGTAAAAAAGTATGTAACATAAAAATTATATTCTATTACAATTCGAGGAATTAAACAGTCAAATGTGGATTTATCACCTTATAAGAAAAAACGATCAGAAAAATTAGTTAACACTTTAATACATAGTCGTCACATGGTTGCATATAATAACCTTTGTAATACAAGTACACATTGGAATATTGTCGCGTTCCGTCGGCTGCGCATTCGCTTTCATTCGGATCTTTTTCGTGCCTTCTTTTTGCTTTTGTATTCATAATTCTGTCTGTGCTAATTTGTGTGTTTAAGAGATCTGAATTTAGTATATCTTAAAAATGTGTAATAAATTTATAATTATTAGCAATTGTACTATTTATTATGTTTCTATTCATGTACTTATAACTTCCCCTAGATAAACAGTAGAAAACAGGTAATAAAACATTCACTTTTTATTTTATATCATCCTGAATATTAATTTTTCTTAATGCTCTGCGAAAAATGAGCATAATTATATTGTTTTGGGGCGATTTTCTTTTTCAAGTGAAGATTTTCTTTTGGCAACACCCTGTGTGTAAATTTTCCTTTATGCTCAGCCAATCTTTATTGTTTTGGGGTGATGTTCTTTTTTAATTGAAAATTTTCTTTTGATAAAGCCCAGTATATAATTTTCCACTGATGTCATGCGAAAACAGGGCGCAATTTGCTATTTTCTAGTGTTATATTTTGTAATTTGATAGCCATTTGCATATGGCCGCTATGCAGATGATAAACATGTTTTAAAATGACGTCACGTGTTTTGTAGGTATTGAAATTGCAAATTCTAAAGTTATATTGTATTTAGTTTGTTAATAAAGAAATGTTAAAAGCAATGGCTGTGTTTTATGACTTGTGCACCCCTTCCTTCCATCATTTCAGGTACAGGTCACAACTTGTAAAGTATTTCTCAGTGTTGTGGTCGGTCCTGAGAGCGTCGACACTTAGACATATCTCTACAAGTCCTAATAAGGAGTTCTCCCACTCGGGGGATGATCCCCACTATAAAAATTGTTAAGGTATCCTGTATGATTTGTGTACTCCATCTTTCATTTCAGATACAGGTAAGAACTTGTAAGAATATTTTTAAGTGTCCCCTCTCGTGAGGCGACTTAAAAATTAGAAATATTTTTACAAGTTCTTAAAAGGATGTCCTTATAAGGAGTTCCCCCTCTCTGGGGATGATCCCCCACCATAAAAATGGTTGATATGCCTGATAATTCCGGGGATGAAGCGCAGAGGCATCGTAGCTGTAGGTTGGGCCGGGAGCAATGGACGCATCGCAGCAGTGGGAGATCGACCTGTGACTGTCTTATAACGACACGTGCCAAAAAATTTAAAAATTCCGTCACCCTTATTCTCTTTTCTTCCCGTACTCTCTATTCTCTTCTTACTTCTCCTATACTCTCTTTCCTGCTGCTCTCTACTTGCTCCTCCACCATCTTTTCTACTTATTACTATTGTTACTCTGCTTTTCAAGTTAATTCTAACATTTGAATCTTTATTTTTGCGGTATGCAACCCACATTTCTTAAATTTCTTATTATTTAATAAAACTGTTCTCTACAAGTGAGATTCGATCCATAAACCTCCAGCATACTAGCATATGCACATGCCACCTGAGCCACAACGCTCACTTATCAAATGCTATTCGTTTCAGGTATAAATGTTGTTGTTTTTCTCACCTTTTTAAAAACAACAACACTGAATAGCCATCATTCAAACACTTTCAGTCATATATAACTTTTATAACTATTCCTGAAAACGACAAAGAGGATACAAAAATCAGTATGTTCTTGTATGCAACATTTATTTAAATATTTTATTGAGATTAATACATTATAAGATATACATACAGATTATATCCTGACAATAGGTGAAAATTAATAACAAATTCGTAGTCACCGAAAGACATGTGCCTGCCGGCGGTCAACGGAATTCACGCGAGAAAATAATAAAGCGACTTTACGTAGTATAGTGAAAGTATATATGATAAGTAAACGTGGATGAGATAACAGTTACTGCAACCACCTCATGGGTAAACAAGTTTAACACATCACATGATAATAATTATGGAGCTGATTTTCAAAAGGGTATCTTTTCATTATTTAGATTTTTAAAATATAAATAAAAAACTGTTTACTTCAAGCTATGATTTTTTTTATCAATCTTATTTTATTCCTTTGCATAATGCTTGGGGTGATAAAGTTATGATTTAATTTTCATGAAAAAAACTTAAAAAGTACCAGTGTAATCAATATTTGAAATTTAAAAAAGTACCCTTTTGGTCCAAAGTGATAAAAAAAAAGTACCCTTCTGATCCAAAGTGATAAAAAAAAAGTAATAATAATAAATTAATCTAAATAAAAAAACACACATAAACAACATAATAATAAGAAAAAATATATGAATAATATTTGTTTAATTTAATAATAATAATAAATTTTGAATTATTTATCAAACTTTACAAAAAGATCTCCTTCTGATCCGAAATGTAAATTTTATTATTTTTTTTATACCGAAAAAAATTTTAATTAATGAAATTTAATGAAATATATCACTGAAACTTGAGTTCTACCAGATTCTAAAAAAAATAAAAATCGATAATTTATCAAAAGATACCTTTTTGAAACTCAGCTCCGCAATTGTAAATAGAATTCTACTCACATTATTTCGCTTGCTGAAAATCTTCTCTTCACAAAAGGAACAAACAAATTTCCACTAATTATAACGGTCGCCGTCGGAACACATGTGAATAAAGCCACTCAATTCTGGAATCCACACTTCACAAACCATTAACCGTAGGACACAACCAACTGATATTACAAAATACCGTTCATTGCCGATCGTTTCAGATTACTACCGAATCAAAATCTCAAGAAACGCTAAAAGCTGCCTCGAGGATCGTGGCAAACAGATCACGTGCGCACCGAACGACTACGCAAGACTGACTACTTCAGATACTTCCACCATCTGGTTACAGTGACTAATACTTTGCTATTTACGCTCACAATTGAACAAATTATTTAGGAAGAAACGAACTCAATAATAGTCTTTTGCCAATCTGCATAAAGTTCCAATATTTACACTGAAATAGGTACGGTGTTTTCGAATCGGGTTTGCTTGCTAGACCCCTAAAACACACATCAATCAAAAAAATTAACAACACATTTTTGTGGCTTCCCTTTGGGTTAATAACAAAAATTATATAAGGAAAATATGAAAAATTTTGATACTTGCAAATTTGATGTTAGTAGAACTATGCTGAGACGTCGAGTCCGCCTGCTAGTTAGGTCTAATGCGAAAATAAATTCAATAAGATAAATAATAAAAAACTTAACACTATATCGTTTAAAACTTCTTTATTCAGGGGGTAGGAGTGGTCAAATTTGGCTTGACGGAAATTCGCTAGATTCTTATCCATTAATCATCACTTGAACATCTTAGCTATTGCTGCTATATCACGCTCTGAGGCTTTATGTCGAAGCTCGGCTAGTTCTGCATCACGTATAGCTTTTTTCTTTCGCTCCTCTTCACGTATTAGTACTTCTTTCGCTGCCAGACGACTTCGCCGTGTCGACCCGTAAAAGATACCAGCCAATAGGAGTGACCATCGAAAAAACTGAAAGAATGTAAGTACAACATGCAAATATATTACCAAATATTAGGTCAAATTTAATATAATGTAGACTACCGTAGCAACTTCACTATGATTTAGTTGAACATCTTCCCACAGCCTCACCTTTATTACAGGGCTCACAGGAAACGGAGGAGGTAATGGTTTTTGAATCCTTTTCACCGTTGGAATTGGAGCCTCTACTGCTTTGTCAGACATATTGGTGTGTTACACTACTAGTTTACAAGCTGTCAACTTTAGAAAAATTTAATATCATATGTATAGCCTTCTATGATCTTTGCAACAGCATGAACAGTGTTAAAAAACAATCGAACAAACAATCAACATTAAACATAAGTTTTATGTTCAAGTTTATAACGATAAATTCAAATAAATAAATGCAGAGTTTAGGTTCTCTTTATTTTCCTTTTCCTTTTCCACCTACTTTTCCCCCTCGAGAACCTTTACCACTTTTCGGCCTTATGGGAACTTCGGGTTCATCATCGAAGTCAAGTACATCCATCACATCATCATTCCGCACAATTTTATTACGTGCAGGGTTAGTCAACAAATTCCGCACTTCCTTCGCTTCATTGACAATGCGGCGACGTGCTTGGTGTTCCTCAATTTTCCTTCGGATTTCTTGATCACTATCACAATCGTCTGCAGGCAGTACGTTTTCTAATTCGGAGAGCACCTTCTTCTTGCAATAACTTGAAAATTGTAAGAATAACATACCGCAAATGAATTACCAACATTTGTCAAACTTACTCGATATAGTCGCTAAATGCATGTGTATCACTGCAATTAGCAAACCTGCTTGCTGCTTCATGCGCACCAGTCGCAGTGAAAATCTCTGCCTCGGCAAAACCCTGTTCTAATTCGCGTTGAAGAAAAGTGAGCACATCTTTTCTATCTGTCTCCTAAATAAAATATACAATAAAATGCGCAAATTGTTAAAATATACTTACTTCTAAATAATCATCGTCAATGTTGAGCCCATCGGTTTGATCTCTCTTTGATTTAGTAGTAGTAAGCCGTTTCTGTAGAACAATCTCTTGCGGATTGGCAAGCTGACCATCAAACACCAACGCCATTTTCTTATCGTGAAAAGTCTGTCTGTCATCAAAATACTGCACAACAAGCCTAATCAATGGTAGCATATCGTTATCAATTCCAAATCTTTCACGATTTTGGTCTTTAATTTTCTTTGCAGCCTTCAGCATATCCTTTATTTCACTGATCACCTCCTTCTCACAATAATTGGCAAGCTCAATCTCTGCAACTCCTTTACTGAGCATATCCTCAACAGAATCCAAAAATATATTACGGTAAATCATGACACGGACACGTTTCAAAGGAATTGGCTCAATGAAGAACTTTTTCTGATTGATATGCAATATGCCAACATGTTTAGGTCGTGATTCACCATCACTCAACGATGTAGCAACCGTACTACCCGGTTGCGTGTAGTATACATCGTTCGTGAGCATTGGCTCGATGTAACAATCGTGCTCATGACCCCACATTACCAGGTCCATAAAATCCGGAATCACATTGTAGGGAAGGTAGTTTAAAGTGCCCCTGTTCGCACGATTTTGATGCAGGAGTAGCATCTGGAAGGCAGTATCAACGTTGGTCTGGTGGAAAGTTACCTTGCCATCACGATGTAAACGCACAAATCGTTTATCAGCTAAATGACCAACACCATACAAGGCAAGCTGAGTATTGCCTTTAAACAAAACTAGTGGTCGCACTTCTAAAGTATCAAGTTTGTCACATCTGCCAAAGTAGTTTACCAAACCCATTGAAGCAAGGGTATCTAAAGATGAAACTGATTTCATCCCAGTTGGGTCATCATGATTTCCATGAATAGAGAAAACAGGAATAGACACATTCAAATTGGGATCATAAAAGTTTATATCTGGAACAGCTTGATTCACATATTCATCTGTCATGTTGTGCAATTCAGGATCAGCATCATTGTTGAGAACTTGGAAATCAATATCTTTGTCTCCAAATGTATATCTAAAACAAGGCACACAATGTGATAAAACTTATCAAAACAATGAAATAGTGTGTGTTATTATACATACTTTCTGATTAAATTCACAGCTCGATGTAAAGTGTATTGAGTTGGTTTATTTGCATCAAACAAATCACCACCCAAAAGTATGAAGTCAACTTCCTGTTCTTGTGCAATTTGTAACATTTCCTCAAATGCGTCAAAAGAATCATTTCCTGGAACAATATTTTGAGTGATATATTAAATAAAGTAGACTATCTACAAATATATACCTCTAACTGGATCCTTCTCATTGTGTCCCAAATGAATATCAGTTGCAATCAGAATTTTGAACGTATCGGCACGATCACGATTTGGAGCATCTACGTCTAACATGTTCAGGTTTTGACAAAACGAATCTTCTGTGAAAAGAACTCCCGATTGCTGAAAACCGTTAGACGGGAATTAAGAAATTTTAAAACACAAATAGGTTATTGTAAGAAACAGCGGGAATAACCCACTGCATTGAAGTGGGCATATTTTTAAGTGGGAGAATTCAAAAGCATCGGAATTGTAATTCGAAATTAGATTCAACAAATTTTTAAAACTCCTTATTTCGACGCAAATCTGTTAGTTATGATTGTCTTAAACATCAGAATTTACATGCAAAAAATTGTTAGTTTTGGAATTTGCTATGCCTATCGACCTGATTATTTCAAATTACATTGAACACAAAGTAAATATTTGAATTGCAGTAATCAAAACATTTAAGTGCTGCTTCAAATAGGCAATATAACATTTGCTGAAATTACTTGTGCTAAATTTTAGTTATTACTATCTTGGTTGTTTGTTTCGTAGAATCAGTTTCAATATGTGTAATACTAAAAAGTCCGTATGTCCATTAATTACATTTCATGCTTTATATATCTAGAAAATTATAACAACCCTATACAAATATTATGGAATTGATAAGGAAACGTATATAAACCATCATTCTGATTTCCTGGTATAAATAAAATCTGTCGCCCTTTATGCTTGTTATATAAAAATGAATCTCGTAACATATTACATTGTAATAGCTGCATCATGTGTTGCTATTACACTAGCGCAGGTAATATTAAATCAAGTATTTTTTCATTTCCTTTACAACTGTTTAAGTTCTACAGGAATGTTATGAGAAACAAACAGTAAACGGCATAGAAATTGAATGGAAATATAGCATCGATGATAAAAATGAGTATTACTACACAAATCCATTGTGCCTCGATGCAAGTGGGTTGTACATATTACGATATTGCAAAAATGGCAATTTCATAGACCAAGCTCCACCAAATTGTTGGAAACTGCAAATGTCCGACTATGCCTGCATGGAAGGGCTTGAACTGCGATATAGCAAAGCAGGACCTTTTTGTTATACGATATCCGCAGGACCAATGTCATTCGACGAACAATTTGAATGTCCTTACAAGCATGTTGATGCCATTGATACTACGGAGTATTATTTTATTCTCGCCGACCAGAATCCAATATGGTTGCCATTCCATCGTCAAGATGTATATGAAGGAACAGTTGGATATTTTATTCCTGACGGATTACACGGTACAGTATTTGAACCGTGCAAAATAGCAAACAATACGAAACAAATTCAAAACCAGAAATGTTTATCAGTGCATGCTGGTTTGCTGGCAGGAGACTGCGATAAACAGTGCTACCGCGCATGTATCTACCGAGCAATTCCTTTAAAGGTAGCAGATGAACTAATTCACCAAGAACAAGAAGCAAATGCGTGCAGACAATATAATGGTCAAGATTCGTTGTGTCGTGCTTCCTGGGAGAAAGATTCAATTGTTTGCTTATGCCCTACTCCTTTTAATGAGTGTGAATTTCCCACATTTTATCCTACAGCACCAGTCGGATGTGGAATTGGTTTAACTGTAACTGATAACAGTTTGAAATCATTTTCGAAACAAACTTATGTAGCCAATGGGTTGTGGTCAATAGATAATTTACAGATAAAACTCTTGGAACACATCATATCTACCGAAACAGGATGGACAACAATAGATCATATTGATTGTGTGATGTGTGAAAGGAACCATGATAACAATGGGAACTCAATAACACTCAAATATGATACTGAGGAAATGAAGCCACATTTAATGGTGGCGAACCCGTATTCAGTATTTTCTGCTATTGAACCAAAATCTCTAGAAACATACAACTTTAAATGCTTTATGGAAGCTGCCGGTATTATAGTATCTTTTGAGCGCATGATGTTTCCTGGTTTATGGCAATGCGAATCTATAGATATTGCAGACACCTCGCATAAATACATTACAAATATCCTTCAATTAGACGCTGGGAGATACATCTTCAGCATTCAACTGGTGGCGGATATAGAATCAAAAAACATTGAAATACTTTATCCTATATTAGATAAATTATTCGACGATTATTCTTCTAACTTGATTCACTGGATAGAAGTGGGCGATGAAACGGATACATGGGTAGAAGTGTTATACAGATTTGACGTGAGTTTAGAAGATGATTTCGAATATCGCATGAAGTGTGAAGCTTTGAATGAAGCTCTGTTAGACACTAACTTAGCGCACCTAAAACCACGTGCGTATAATCAGATGTTTTGTGAAGGTTTCACTACAAACCAACAAGGAAATACATTCATTTGGCCCATGGCTCTAGTTGACGACGTTTCCCAAACGGATTGTTTTGATGAGACAGGTTTTCCACTGTTGATCGAATGCAAAGGTGATTTTACAATTGGCGCGCGATTTTCGCCGGTTCCCGAGTGTATTTCCTTCACTCACAACTTTACCGACGTGCTTTCTAATCTGGAAAACTCAACTGGTCCACCCGATAAAATTTTAAGCAATCTAACAATTATTTTGAAACTAAATCACAACTTAACAACACAAGAATTCGACATGACAGCAAATATTCTTGAAAAGTGGTGTGAAGAAGCAAATCTTACCAATGTCATTAAGGTTGTCAACAGGATAATGATGACGAATCCAGAAGCATTAGAGAATTCCCAAAAATTACAAAATGTAACAGATAGAGTCCTATATTCATTGGACACATCCCTTCAGTTAACACAAATAGATAGTAGTGAAGAAACACTTGTTATCGACCAATTGGAAGCGGCATTTATTAATACCAGTATATCAATCTATACAGGGACAGCATATTTGACCACAGGAAAAATGATCTTCTTAAATACTTCGTATACCATTGAAGAAATACTGGAATTAGAAAATTTGGAATCAGCTGTTTATATTTCGACTAATACTACTGGCTTATCTTCAATAACAAAGTTTAATTCTTCAGTTTTATTCAATGAAAAACAAACTTATCAACATGCTGCTTATTCAAAGGTTTTGGGAGTATTGTTACCTGAAGATTCGGAAGATACCACAGTAACAGTAGTATTCAAAAGTGATCAGGAAACCAAATGTGCGTATTGGTTATATGGTTCCGACTCATACGGAAGTTGGAAACTTGATAATAATATTCTTTTGGTAGATAACTATACCATTTGCACTTACAATCACACCACACACTATGGACTATTGATTATGACAGAGACTCCTTTGGAGCCAGCTAGTGAACTTGTTCTATCTATATTCACAGCTATAGAAAGTGGATTATCAATAGCAGGTTTATCTATCATCCTAGCAACAGCTGTTATCTTCCCAATGTGGCGACATGAAAATGCAGCGCTAATCCATTACTGCACAGTTCTTTTGGTTCAAACTCTTCTCTTATTCATCAACTCTAATACAAATATAAAAGGATCAGGATGCATTGTGATTGGCGCTTTGTTGCAATTCACTGTGTTATCGCAATTCTGCTGGATGGCAATGATTGCCGTTCATAAATACCAAAAACTAATTCTGGTGTATCAGTCCAAATCATCCCGATGGAAGTCAATGTGGATGGCATTTACCTATGGTGTTCCTTTTGTGATTGTCGTAGTAGCTTTAATTGTAGATGCAGAGAGTTATATCAATAGTAAACATCTAGACTTGAGTATTTGTTATCCAAGTGGAAATGTACTTATATTTTCTTTAATTTTACCATCGGCATGTGTTTCGTTTGCAAACGGATGCTTATTCGTATGGATTGTGTATAAGTTAATTTCCCAAGATAATAAAATAACATATTTGAAACAAAATTGGTTCAAGAATAATTCCGATAAATTAGGTAACTTTGCTTTGATGGTGTTTACGTTGGGTATTACATGGTGGCTTGGTTTTGCAGCTTTATTTTTCAACAGTAGTGTTTTGTTATATTTATTTTCAATCACCACAGGTCTGCAAGGATTTTTAATATTCATTATTAATATTGTCGGAAAAGAAGATGTGCGATTTATGTACTTACGAAAATATAAAAACTACAGGTTAAAGTAACTATTAGATATAAATATATCAAAATAATGAAATTGCGTAATTGAGGTGATCTTTGCCCTTGCTTAGTACTATTATTCGTTAATTCACAAAAAAAAACAAATAATGTCAATTAAACTGTATATAATTGATAAAAGATAATACGCATTGTATATTGTTAGCATCACCATATGGCACAACAGATTAGCGATGATAATAAGTAATAAATGTGTAAAAGTTATTTGTTTGTACTTTTTATGATTACTGTTCCAAGAGCATTTGCCGACAGTCGAACCAAAAATGACCCAATTGGTCCAATTTATAGTAATAAAATTAATTATTCTTGAAGTAAAAGCATTCCTACCACTTCAACCCACGCTCCCTGCTGGAGTAAAACCGGTAAAACGCAAAACACTCGCCAAAAAATTAATTTTCAATTTGATTCTTGTCTGTTTCTGCAGAGGTGTTATGAAACCCAAATGGTCAACGGTGTCGAAATAGAATGGTTGCATAGCACCGATTCGCTACATTACTATTCCACACCACTGTGCATCGACGAGAAAGGCCTCTACGTCATACGACTTTGTCTAGGTGGCCATTTTATGAGTCTTTGGCAGCCATTATGTACATCGATACAAAAGGCAGACTATTCCTGCATGGATGGATTGAAATTAATGTACGGAAAAAACAACATTTTTTGTTATACCAAGTCGGAAAAAACAATGCCATTTGATGAAGAATTTCTATGTCCCTACAAGCAAGTCGATGCTTACGATAATACGGAATATTATTTTGAGTTATCTAATAAATATCCAGTTTGGATGCCGTTTCATCGCAGAGATCGAAATGGAAGCATTGGTTATTTTGTTCCTGATGGGTTTCGCGGCACGGCTTATGAACCATGGGTTGTGGCCAACGATCAAAAATTAAGTAAAAATAAATGCCTTTCAGTAAACTCTGGCAAATTAAGTGGTGACTGTACTAAACTTCGCTACCACGCATGCGTTTACAGAGCAATTCCCTTGAATTTAACTGAAGAACTTAGTGTTAGTAAAATGGAAACAGATTTCTGCACTAAAAAATGTGGAAGCAATGCTCGTATCTCTTGGAAAAGAAACACTATTAGCTGTATCTGCCCTGAACCAATAGCTGAATGTGAAAAGCCAGCTGTTTATCCTATAGCAACAGAGGGTTGTGCCCTTGGATTGGAGAAAAATGCTAAAGGTGCACTAATCTGGACATCCTCCGGGGAAGTTGTTCGTAACACTTTTTGGTCAGTAGATAACCTACCCTCAAAGTTGGCAAAGTACATAGTATCATCAGAAACAGGATGGACCACAACAGATAACGTCACTTGTATCATGTGTGAAATTACATTTTCTCCACCAGAAAATGAGATAACTCTTGCATATGACTCTGATAAAAAGTTAGCGACGGTAACCTCAAGTAACCCAGACCGTCAGTTCAATGCTGCTGATCCATATAATCCTGAAGTGAATTATTCAGTGAAATGTTTCATGGAAGCTGCTGGTATTGCCTTGGATATATCCCAAGTATCATCTTCAGGTTTATGGCAATGTGAGGTGATTGACATAGCAGATACATCCAAAAAAGTGGTCAGCAACGTGGTCCAAATGGACTTTGGCAGATACAACTTTTTTCTACAGTTTATAGTAAACCTCAATTCTAGAAACATTAAAGTCCTCTATCCTGTACTAGACAAAGTCTTCAAAGAATATTATTCTCTAGTTCTGATACAATGGGAAGAACCCAGTAATGACAACGAAAAATGGTTAAAAGTTCTTTACAGATTCGATGTCCAGTTGGAAAACGATGAAAAATACAGACAAACCTACAAAGAATTTAACAATGAATTATCCGGACCCGTCTATGCTGACCTCAAACCTGAAGCTTATAATTTACTTTTCTGTAACGAATTTACAACTAAACAACGCGGACACACCCTAATATGGCCAACTGCAGAAATTGATCAAGAATCACAAACTGATTGTTTTGATGAAACTGGTAAACCAATGCTGATTAAATGTATAAGAAATTTTACTTTGGGAGCTCGCTTTACCCCTGTACCAGAATGTCATTCATTTGGTGGAAATACAACTGAACAATTATCAGACTTGGAAAACGCAGAAGCACCCCCAGAAGAAATTCTAACAAACCTAACGAATATTCTACAAAACAATCCAATCTTTACATCACAAGATTTCAACAAAACTGCAAATATTCTAGAAAAACTATGTGAAGATGCTAATGTTACTAATGTCGTTAGTGTTGTAAGTATGGTCATGACAAAAAGCCCCAAAGCTCTCCTCGACTCCCAACGAGAAGTTAACACAACAGATCGACTGCTATATTCTTTAGATATGGCTTTAAAAACAAAAACAATGAATGACAGTGAAGAGATCCTTACAGAAGATAATGTAGAATGTTTATTTATCGATACAGATTCTTCAATATATGCAGGAGCGGCTTATTTAACTTCTGGGGAAATGGTCCAACTACAAGGTGATTTGTCAATCTACGAAATTCTAGATATTGAAGATTTAGAATCCGCGGTTTACATTGAATACTATGGTACGGTTGGATTAACATCAATCACAATGTTTAAATCATCAGTGTTATTTAACGAGCATGAAAACTATGACTATAATCCTTTTCAAAGGGTTTTCGGGGTGATTTTACCCGAAGGTGCTGAGGATATTTTAATCACACTTGTATTTCCTCGTGAGAAGCAAACAGACTGCGCTTATTGGAATTATGGACAGGATACATATGGCGGATGGGAAATCGATAGCAATAGTTTTGTAGTTGATAACTTTACAGTTTGCTTATTCAACCATACCACCCATTATGGACAATTATTAATGTTAAGAAGTCCCTTGGGTCCTGTCAGTGATATGATTTTATCAACAATGACAGCAATCGAATGTTCCTTATCAACTGTAGGTTTATGTGTTATATTGATTACAGCAGTGGTTTTTCCAACATGGAGAAAGCGCAAAGGAAGACTGATTCACTACTGTTTGGTGCTTTTATTACAAACGATTCTATTATTTGTCAACACAAATATTCCTTTGGAATCACCAGCTTGTATTCTGGTAGGTGCTTTGTTGCACTTCACGGTGTTATCACAATTTTGTTGGATGATAGTTATTGCCGTGCATCAACACCGCACGCTAGTAATTGTCTATCAGAGAAAACAATCTTTATGGGAGTCAAGATGGGTTATGGTGATTACATATGGCCTACCTTTAGTGGCAGTTGGGAGTGCTGTAGCAGTTGATCTGGAAAGTTACACAGAAGGAGAATATTTAGGATTGAGTATTTGTTATCCAAGTGGAAATGTGCTTTTCTTCAGTTTGGTTTTACCTACGGCTTGTATTGCTTTTGTTAATGGTTGTTTATTCTTATGGATGTTATATAAATTAACTTGTGTATCACGTGGTCCTGCCACACCAGTGGTACCAGGTCTGTATGGTACTTGTATAAGTCGCAATTTGGATAAAATTCGCACCTTGGCATTGATGGTATTTACTTTAGGCATCACCTGGTGGCTTGGATTCGCAGCTTTATTGTTTAATAATGGCACTTTGTTATATTTGTTCTCCATCACAACAGGCATGCAAGGATTTTTGATTTTTGTTGTAAATATTCTTGCGAAGAAAGATGTATGGGCTATGTATTGCCGAAAGTATAAAATGTGGGTTGTATTTAAAAATTAAAACATACTATATTATGTCAATGTATCTGAATGATAATAAAACTTTAAATGTTTTGAAATCTATTGCAACTGCAGCCATATTTAAATCGCAAATGCATAAAATGTGCAAAACAAGGTGTGGGTTCATGAGAAATATTGATAAAAGTACAGTTACATACAGTATCGACGACCTAAGAAAAAAAAATTATTTGCTAAGTGTAAATAAAACATCCGCCGATATCTAAACATTTTATTAACTTTAGTATTCATGTTGCAGTCGAGTATACTCAATGTCTAACTTTGATTTACTAAAGTTTTTGAAATTAAAAGAGTTTAGGTGGCATGTATTGTCACATATTCACTATGATTCTGTTCACGTAAGTAAAAGTAAAAATATTTCAAAATCATATTATTATTTTTATTTGTGTTGCAGTTTATCCAACGCCCATGTGCAAATACTAAACTGGAGTGAAATGAATCATCGTGAATTTGAAACACTGTTGAAAGAACAGTTTACTGAGATGAGTAAAACATTAATTACAGAAATTAATCTACGAAGGAATAGAATCAACAGAATTGACTGGGATGCATTCAATGGATTCGTCAACTTAACACATTTGTATTTATCAAACAACATGCTAAAGTATTGGAACGTCAATTTACCAGTATTGCAATTGCTTGATATATCAAACAATAATTTCGTTACTTTTAAGGACATAGATTTGGAAGCAATGCCTGCGTTGCATACACTCCAACTGAACAACAATCAGCTAGAAAACATCAATTGGAATTTAACTTTAGGTAATATTACTGAGATAGATCTACGCAACAATGTGAATTTAACAAAAGTGCAAATATCATCCGAATCACTACAGGTTCTTTCATTGAAAAATACAAGTATTCAGAAGATAGATTTAAAAGTGCCAAAATTGCGGGAATTAAATTTATGCCTTACGAGTTTTAATAAATTAGAAATACTAAATAACATTTGTAATTCTAGTGTGAGACTAGAAAATTTGAGTATCATGTACACAGCTGAAGATAAAAGCAATAAACGTTTTGAGTGTCCAATACAAGTTATGGTACTCGTAGGTTGTCAGTATAGTACACTTAGAAAAGGTTTTGATGATGTAGCTGTATCAGCGAAAGATTATTTCAAAGTAAAATGCTCATTATACGGAATGCTAATTGTAAGCATACTTTTATCAATATGTTTTGTAATTATAACTACGTTATATTTAAGAACTAAGACAGAAAGATCAAAGACAGAAATTTATTATGTGACGTATAATAAAAAACGTCTGAAGATTACTATTAAGAAGTAAAGTAATGTTAATAATTGTGACCGTAATAAACATTTTATTCTTATAGTGTTATAGTGTTGTAATGTAATTCGTTTTTACTCTCTTGTTCTAGACATAGTATGTGTCAATTCTATCAATAAGATTCGCAATTTTATTTTAAATAAATGAATTATATAAAGAATTGTTAAAATGTACTCCAGGGCGCCATCTCGGATTCAACTATTAAACTATAACTATGATTGAATTTCAATGCCAACTTTTATCCTATAGAAAAGTACTGTCATTAGGGTTTTCTCGGCAATTATTAGAATTTTTCTCGCCGTAAAAACCATCCTTGGACTTTAATAAATATTTAAAAAAAAGAATTGGCCAAATTTGTCTAGACGTTGTTGAGTTATGCGCTTACCAATAGATTTTCGATTCATTTTTATATTATAGACTTTAGATTATGATGTGTTGCTTTTAACGCGCATTCTATTAAATAATTACTGTTAAGTTTGCAATAGGTAATAGATGTCGTGACAAGACTCAATTTAATTTTTATACTGTGCATTTTTATCTTGTTAATAAACTATATATTTTAATTATAATTATCTATAAATCGGATTACATTTATTTATAACTTAATTTTTGAGTGGTTGCTGCATTGTAAACATGAATTAATCGAGTTTAGAATGAACTGAAATAATAGACATAGATTGATAGATAACGACGGCGTAATGAATCGAGTCTTGAATGCTCGCGAAGGACGTTCGAAATTAATCGAGCGTGAATTTTACTTCTTGCGTCTGGCCGTGGTGCTTTCTTTCGTATTTCGCATTGTGCACGTTAGCACAACAATCAAAAACTAGTGATCCGTGCCTTTCAGTTCAATACCATTTACGCTACTTAAATTTTACTACGAAACATATTAGGTTATTATTGTAATAGGCAACCATTTGTGCATAAAATAATTTTCTTAGAAAATACGCGTAAATATTTAATTACTCAAACAATTCAATTGTATGCAACCCATCGCATACACGCATTTAATGATATGCATCTATTTCTTTGTTTTGGTAAAATTTCCTTAATGATGCGTGGATATTCACTGAATAATTAATAATTTTCACTTTGGACTGATGAACCAATTTTCTACTTATCTAGATTCACACAATTTCTTTTTTGTTGTTGTTTAAATCAACTCTAATTAATTAATGTGAACTTTTGGTGTGTTCAAAGGAAAATATAAGTTCAAAATATTTAAAACAAGTTAAATGTAATACTTGCGTGTTGTAGCACCATTAAAGTTAATAATTTGATGACAAAAGCGTAAAATGTGTGTGCAAATCCGGCTAATAACGTAATTAAAGAAGCGAATCGCAGCGAACTGCGTGATTTAATTAGAGACACATTACGATTGAGTGCTAACGGTGACCAACAACGACAAGAAACAATTGTTTCAATTGGGAAACGTCCGTGCTGAACTTTGGAATTGCGTATTTCCGGTCGTGATTGAAATGTACTCAATCAATAAAAATAAAATACACAAACGACATAAAATTATTTAACTCTTAATGACATCTGCTTAAAAATACTAAGAATAAATTTACTGCCAAAAATCCCAAGTTGAATCATTCGATTTTATGCAACATTACATACATATTATGTTGTCATGACAACGATATACAGTTTTGATTTGACATGTGCGTAAATTACAAGATAATAACCTAGTTTATGTGCACGTCAATAAACTAGTATTAATCTGTTGAAAATTTGAAAGTACGCACTAATTTTTATTTAATGCAAAACTCGCCGATTTTATTGTTGGCGAATAAATGCAACGCTTGGGCCAATTTATTTTTATTTGCGATCGGAAAGAAGAAATAACTGTCGCGTGTCGATTTTTACAAAAACGGCGAGCGCGCGATTTCTGCACGCTTTACATTTTAATTTGGTTTCGGTGGCACTTTTTTCATTGCATAAACGTGCATAAATTTGCACTAGAAATTTACAAATCATATTCGGCCAATTTAGCCTCGCATATATTCTATATAATAAATAATACTTTTTATATTTTTAATATATAATCTTATTTTTATCATTTGGATATTATAATTAAAAAAACGCATAGAAAACTTTCTTAATTTCTTAATTTTTCTTTCCTAGAAACTCATTAAATATGATATTAAGTATAATAATAGATGCCAATTATATTTGTTAATTTTATTTCATTTCTTGTTGTTTTAGTAATTTTAATAATAAAAAATTAAGTGTATCTTGTGGCGATAAGTTAAAAACTTGAAGTTAAGAAATCCCAGTCTCAGCCACAGTTATTGTTAATTGTTTCCTCGTGTGATTAATGATTGGATTAAACATTTAAAGATAGATATAATTATTATTTAAATACTTACGAGGTATAAACCGCAGAATGAAGTTGTTTGGAAAATTACTTTAAATTTATCTTGGGAATACACGCGTGGAGGTGATAAAATCTGGAAACCACAAAAATTAATAAATAAATATGTATACTTAAAAATTTAGGTCTCATGTCAACAAGAATGTACAATTAAATATTTTTAAAACACGAAAATTTAGAGAAATCGAAAATATTATTTGCACAAACATAAAAAAATTCATCGGAAGATGTATTATGGCATGTTCGGTGGTAATACTGCAACTCAAACACTGATTTTATTCATTTAAAATCTTAAAAAGCACATTTAAACAAAAAGTTAGGTTAAAAAGGAAAATATTATTCTGTTACATGATTGCAGAGACGTAAAAAGTGCCAATTTCTAAACAAAAAACAATTTTCAAAAAAATATATTTGGTTTAAGTTGATTTGGTCACTGCACAAACTCTTCGCCTATAAATACTTCAACATAACGATATTATGCCAAGAATGTAAGATTTAACTACTGTTTTTACTGTTTGGTGTTCTCATATTCCAATATTCTAATTCATACCCATGTAAATACCTCCTATACGTACCTGTTCATGAACAATTTAGCCATGCGCATGTGTGAGTGACTTAGCTGCGCCGAATAGACGAAAAATTACTTTCACTTTCGTCCGCCCTGCCGCGTGCGCGCCGTCGCGCACCTCGTGCGTTCGCATTTGTTTATAAGAAGGGTGGCTCACCGCAACGAGCCTTCAGTTCGTCAAACAACTCTAGCAACAAATCAACTCAAACTTAACCTTCGTACAATCATTTCAATTACACCCAATTAAAAGTTGTTTTGTTTGATATTCATTAAAAATAAAAACAAGTTTTATTTTATTTTGTTTAATAAAATATTGTGGTATTTTTATCAATAATTTGGAGCTTAATTTTGGTAAGTAAATTATTTAATTAAATTTATGTCTAATAGTATTAGTTTAGTTGGTATGTGCATTTTTCATGAGATTTACGCAATTTAAGATTGCAGAATTCGTAAAATTCATGGAAAGTGAACGCGAAAGCTCAAATGTCGCTTCCCAGGCATCTTTCAAACCTAATTCAGAAACTCACGTAGAGAGCCATGGCGTAATCATTCGAATAGCCATCTAAATATCAATTCGGGTTCGTTTTCCCATTAAACCAGTCGATACCTAACATAAATTCAGTACAAACGAGCAATCGCACTGTGTGTGCAGTAATCGGTCGTGATCGGAACACATCCGAACATTTCAATAACTCGCTGACTGTCTCCCGGACGCGCACGCGCACGTAAATGATGCAGTCGAAAGGGAATCATCCGAAGGTTGCGGCAACCCAACACACAAAAAATACACCGAACGTTGTTAACTTGCGCCGTTTTAAAGTTCACAAAAGTTTCGCCGCGCTTAAATGCCGCTAAATAACAATAAATATCTGCGTGTTAAAGGAGCTGGAAGAGTTAACAAAGTTAATGAAACGATAGCGATAGTGTTATGCACGTTTTTCTCGTCGCGTTGCGATACGTTGGTGTATTACGTGTACTTCATGTGGAGCGTTTGATTTTATTTATTATTATGTTTGGTGGCAAACAATGGCAAACGAAAGGGAAAATACTACACAAACGGATTATAATATAATACATATATTACAAAAGTTACTATTCTGTAATATTCATTGATTCTTTATTAAATCACGAAGGAAATAATAAAATTCTTGTTTATTTTTATTAAAAAAAAATAAAAACAACTGATAAAACGGTTTAAACACTAAAAAATTAAAGCTTTCATTGTTTCACAATGAAATTAACATGTTTGTTACCCAGTTGCATGTTGGGTTGTCGTCTTGGAGGCTAGTGAAAGCGATTTGCATAATTCGAACATTTCTCTACTTTTTACAACGATTCTAACTTAAAAAACGCACGAATCTTGTTGATTTTGGTTTAGTGAGCACGCCGCGTGTCCTTGTTGCAAAATTTTAACGATTTAACATGATTTACTCACTTTCGTTTCGTGTAACTCCATTTACACTTGTTAAAAATAAATGATTTAATTTTGTACCTCGTTATTTATGTTAATTTTTAGTTTTTTGATATATTTTTACACTTTATCTACTTATTAAGTTTTTATCCGCGTTAATTATTTCCTGAATTACAATTTATTCTTTGTGTTAAAATAGTTTTTTATTTGTTTTTATAAATCTTTTGTTTTCCGTTGCACGCAAAATGTAACAAAAACAGCCAACTTGAGCAATAAATAACGAAGAAAAAAAGTGAACGGAACTTTTGATCTCATGTCGATTTAGTTATGTCGAATTGTGTATTATGTGTATTACTGTATTGCGATTCACATCGTTGTTACACACTCGTTAAATTTATTGCGTTACTCGAACAAATCCCAATCACACATTTCCAAATATATTTTCAATGTAGCCTCAACAAACTCAATGGTTACGTATTGCTTTTGTTAAGGATTATTTTCTTTACGTCTTCAATGACGACAATGTGTCGAGGTCTGTGTCGAATCAGACAAAAATCCCACTATTGCAACATGACGATGACCAAGCGGCAGGAAAAGCCCGTAACACTCGTAAAATCTGACCGGTTGACATAATCACATTTGAACCAACTTAACCGGCAATAAAAACACACAACAAATCATCAATTAGCATATCTATAACAAGCCGAACATAAAACTTGAAAGTTTTTGACACAACACAACTAGACAACCAATTATACAAGCGTGTATGTAAAATGTATGAAAGGCAAACGGAATTATCTAACAAATTTGTTTTACAACACATTCGCAATCATTTTTATTCGCGAATTGAATCCAATTGAAATCGATCGTGATTGGAATGCCTCCGTACTAATTGAACTTAATTAATTTTAATCGGCAAATCGAATCATTGCAAACAAATCACTTGAGAAATTGGAAAGTAACGGTCATAAAACTTGCCCAAACTTGGACAATCATTAACGAGATCTTGATTTGAATACGAGTATTTCGCGTCGTGGAAGTAAACTAGATTACTATGACTATGATGTGTGTCATAATTACTTTTATCCATTGCGTAAACTAATTAAGAGTCATTTACAAATACAATAAATAAATCTAAATAAAAAAATTAAGTAAAACACATTGAGCAATGCATACTATTACTATTATATAGAAGTACATTACAGTTACCTGTATTACCGACATTTGAAGTGAGGTTAAGTTTAATAATTCACTTCATTAATATTAATATTAATAAATTAACGTGGGAAATGAGTGTCATTCCATCTTAAATTGTTGTCATTCATCTTTTCATTCAATTGTTTACCTAATAAACTCATAAACAAAAGTGTTGCAAGTTTAATGCAATTGTGAGTTTAGGATTATGGCAGTGATAAGTAATATTGAAACAGAACGAAAAGTGCTCAAAGTGAATTAAATACTTGACACATTTATCTATGAATAAAGTTATAAATATCGATTGCTAAATTAGAGCGCAGTGTGCGCGTTCGCCAAAACGTTGTTCCAACAACGTTGCATGAGGTGAAACGCGTGAAATATTCTGCAAGAACGCGACCGTACGCGACTAATTAACGTCTCGTTTGCATCTTGCATAGTTGCAAAGTTATTCATATACTGTGTTTTATTTTAATTAGTTCATATCCGACTTGATTTATTTATTTATAAAAGTAAAACGAGGCAAATATCCTCAAATTCATATCGTGATGTCATGTTATCGACATGCCATCTAACGGAAGTAAATGTTACCAAATTACTGATGTATTGGTTGCCTTTATTTTTAAATTTTCAGGTTTTCAATTTATTCTCATCACGATTGTTTCATAACCAACAAATTTTTAAACTGTAATATGTACAGTGATGCAATATGAAAATGTTATATATTCTAAACTAACCAGTAATAACTGATTGCTTTATTTAAAACAACATGAAATGGGATAATAGAGTAATCACGATATTCCGGGAGCACTGTTTGCACAAACTCTTTTTTCTGCATTTCTGCTTCACTTAGCTACGTTGTGACTTTTTGATCCTTCTGTTTGATTTGTGATTTGTCTATGCGAGCACCTCCAGCAATATTTTAATACAAAGCGTGCTTTAGAACACCTTGAACGCATGGAATTGCAGATCATGAAAGCACAACTTAAAGTAATATTGAATCATTCGATTTGTGTATTTACAATATTTGCGTGGAAATTTTTGCAACGCTACACATAAATGTAGCAATATTCATTCATACGCCCATAATTTACAAGGCTTCGTAATCGTTTGATCATCTAACATTGAAAATATAACGCGTTGAAGTGTAGAGTTGTAAAATGTGTAATGTAAAGATGTGAATAAGTTACGAAATTGTTAGGAATTATAATTAATTGGGAGTACGAATCAGACTCAGTTTCATTGTGGAATATTATCTACGAATACAAGTATTGCTAAATTATTATTGCTTTTTCGTGAATTTACAATTAGCGTGCTTTGTTTGGATTGATTTTGCTTGTATTGCGACATGCTGAGTAAGTGGAATTGTTGCAAAGTCATAAAATCTAAGTAGACTAGACTTAAGTAGTTAAAAGTGACCTGGGCAGGCGTATTTTACTTAAATATACTTGCTAAGGTCGTTGAGAGTTGAATTTTTAGACAATATTATTTTAAGTTGTTAATATTTAAATTTGCGTATTGGAAATAACTGTAAAATAATATTTTAATGAAAATGTGATATTGCAAATAATGCAAATAAATATTGTGAAATTATGCGCAGAGATCGGAATAATCAAGCATTTAATAGATGTATAATGTTTCTGTTTTATTTATTGCAATTTAGCTCTAGGTTAATTTTCGTTTTGCACTTCGAGACATTTCCGCGATTTCTATACTAATGTATTTGTATAATCCGAGTAATAAATGTAGATTTCCGTATCATTGGAATATCAGCACAAGGAACAAATTAACAGATGTTGATCGTAATTTAGAATTTAAAATTTAAATTCCAATAGATTTCTAAGTTTATCTTACTGAGGAATGCACCACATTAATTAAAAATGCAACTTTTAAAATATATTTCATTTCAATTATTCAATTATTACGTTAAAAATAGTTATTTATATATTATTAAATATAATTTATACTTTTTAATTTATTTTTAGCTATTTTTTGTTTTGTTTGGTAAAATTTTATTTGAATTACTCAATATGCATATATTATGCATGTAAATATAACACTTTCCCAAAAAATGTAATAATATAATAATTAATAAAGCAATAAACACAATAAGCTCACCTAATCGAAAACAAATCTTAATCACAGCATGCGTTTGCGTTGGCTAACGCATGCAGCGCAAAACTAATCACAATGAATCAGAAACGAGAACGAGGCGAGAACAAATGAAAACGAAAGCAAAACAAAACATGCACACAATTTACGAGCAACATTATACATGTTATAAAACCCTCATCCATGCAAATCCGACGTAAATAGAACGAGGAATCAAAAATCGCTATATTAACTATTCATTAAAAGCAAAAAATGAAATAAAATTTACAACTGTGTATGAACTAAAGTTATGAATGAGCAAAAATGGCAAAGCAATCAATTTCACTGTTTAATATTGATTTTTTTGTATAATGATTATGTTAGTTTAGATTTTATGATTAATAACTTGTGATATTCACGCTCAATCAGCAAAATCATGATATCATAATGCAGAGCATGAGTGAGTTAGAAAGTAAATTAATCGATAAATCAAAAACACGCTTAAAAGAGTTAATGGTGCAGTGATAGTGATGTTTGAACACATGTAAAATTAATTGATTCGATTTTTCTGCGGTTGAAAAAATTATTTGGCGCGTTCCATTTGTTCTCGCCTTTAAAATAAATTCGGATCATATACAGATAATGATGTAATAAT